AAGGATGCTTTTTATCCAGAGATTTTGCCTACTCAGTTTTCTATGGAAGTATGTTGTGGCTAGATTTCCATTACATTTTTCCCTCCGAGCTTTATATATAAAGCAAACTGTTTAATATAGCTGGCTGTATTACTCTTCAAAACACCTGGCTTGAGGATGTGACATGATTAACAGAATTGCTAGTTTGAAATACAGGTTAAATGTCTGTAGCATAGAATCACAGAATAACGGTTTGGGTTGGAAAGGACTTTAAGATCATCTAGTTCCAGCCCCTCTGGCATGGTCAGCGACACCTTACACTAGACCATGTTGCCCAAGGCTCTGTTCAACCAGGCCTTGAACACTGCCAGGGATGGAGCATTTACCACTTCCATGTCCATCTCCAGCAAATATGGCTTTCAGACAGGCTGAATATTTCATGTAATGGCTTGTAAAACACTAATGAATTCGAAGACATTCTGTTTCCCTGCACCTGCCCTGTGCTGAATGGTTCCACATATGAAGCCAGAGCACACCTTGGGTCAGAACACATCTCTGCGCTTTTACATTCCATAAGCAGTTGCAAAAGAGCCCGCTACAGGGTAGCAGTCTTTTCTATTGACTGTGTCACTGTTTTGTTTTACAACGGACAAGCTTTACAAAATGGCTTTTGCCCACTGAATGCAACTAATATTAACCAATCTACCAGAGAGCATGTGATACTGACAACAGATTAATGCTTAAAGCAGCCTAATGTTTTTGCATTAAAGGTCTATTTTCAGCTCTTCCTAGTTTTGCTCCACTTCATATTAAAGTTGTGCTCATGCATGTGTAAACCAAGTACAATCCAAATCTGAATCGTATTTGCTTGAGGGACTGAGGTTGCCAATCTAAGTAAAGGCTGCTGCTGAGAGGAGCTCTCTTGTCCCCTTGTGTCAGCAGTAGTGTTGGGGCAGCCATAAGGACAAACCAGTCTAAAATATACTCTAGGTTTCAACTGCATAATTTCTGCTGCTTGTCTGACTGTGTGGTTGAACAAGTGCTGGTGCTGGCATAGGGGAAGGAGTAGCCAGGAGCAGAAGCTGGAGCAGATGGTGATGGGGAGGGAGGAGGAGCAACAAATCACAGAGCTGCCTGTTCTCAGCAGCAGTTCTGCATCTGTCTTGGTTTAAAGTGACCATGAGTGATTAAACAGCAGTAAGTGCCTTGATGATGTTGTGTGTGTAAAATATGTTCCTATTCTGACCTCCATCTCTTTGACGGAGACAAGGAAGGCTTAAGGCAGCTTTTTAGGCATTGAGGAAAGGTGTGGTACAGAGCTCAGACTGCTAACTACAATTCAAGATCCTCATGGCAGTGAGAAGAGCGTGTATCAAGCTCACTGCCCTGGACTTCAAGAGAACAGACTTTGGCCTCTTCAGGAACCTGCTTAGTAAGGTTCCTAGAAGACATGGAGGCCCAAGACTGTTGGTTGATATATAAGGATCACCTACTGCAAGCTCAGGAGTGTTGCATCCCAACTAGGAGTGTAGCAGAAGGGCCAGGAGACCTCCTTGGATGGATAAGAAGCTGCTGAGGAAAATTCAAATGAAAAAAGAGCCTTATAAAAGGTGGAAGCAAGGACAGGTGGCCTGGGAAGAGTACAGGGATGTTGTCTGGGAAGCTAGGGACCAGGTTAGGAGAGCTAAGGCCCAGTCAGAATTAAACTTGGCTAGGGATGTTAACAATAACAGGGATTCTATAGGTACATAGCGAATAAAAGGCAGCCTAGGGACAACGTGGGCCCCCTCTGGAAGCTATCAGGAGAACTGGCTACCCTGGATTTGGAGAAGGCTGAGGTTCTTCATGACTTCTTTGCCTCAGTCTTCACTGGCAAAGGCTCTGACTGCACCACCAAGTCTTGGAAGGTAGACATGGGGACTGTGAGAATGAAGAAGTTGGGCTCACTGTAGGAGAGGATCTGGTTCGAGACCATCTTAAAAATCTGAATGTGCCAAGCTCTTGGGTCCTGATGAAATCCATCCATGGGTCCTGAAGGAGCTGGCAAATGAAGTTGCTAAGCCACTGTCCATCATATTTGAAAAATCGTGGCAGTCAGGTGAAGTTCCTGGTGACTGGAAAAAGGGAAATATAACCCCCATTTTCAAGAAGGGGAAAATGGATGACCTGGGGAATTACAGACCAGTCAGTCTCACCTCTGTGCCTGGCAAAATCTTGGAGCAGATTCTCCTGGAAGGCATGCTGAGGCACATGAAAAACAAAAAGATGCTTGGTGACAGCCAGCATGGCTTCACTAAGGGGAAATCCTGCCTGACCAATTTGGTGGCCTTCTATGATGGGGCTATGGAACTGATGGAGTAGAGCAGCTGATGTCATCTACCTGGACTTGTGCAAAGCGTTTGATACTGTCCTACACAACATCCTTGTCTCTAAATTGGAGAGACATCAATTTGATGGATGGACCACTCGGTGGATAAAGAACTGGCTGGATGGCTGCACACAAAGGGTTGTGGTCAATGGCTCAATGTCCGGCTGGAGACCTGTAACGAGTGGTGTCCCTCAGGGATCGCTGTAGGGACCGGTCTTGTTCAACATCTTTGTCACTGGCATGGACAGTGGGATTGAGTGCGCCCTCAGCAAGTTTCCCGATGACACCAAGCTGTGTGGTTCGGTTGATACGCTGGAGGGAAGGAATGCCATCCAGAGGGACCTTGACACGCTTGTGAGGTGGGCTGATGCCAACCTCATGAAGTTTAACCATGCCAAGTGCAAGGTCCTACACCTGGGTGGGAGCAATCCCAGGCACAGCTGCAGGCTGGGCAAAGAGCCCTGTGAAGAAGGACTTTGGGGTGTTGGTAGATGAGAAAATGAACATGAGGTGGCAGTGTGAGCTCCCAGCCCAGAAAACCAGCTGTATCCTGGACTGCATCAAAAGGAGCGTGACCAGCAGGTCGAAGGAGGTGATCCTGCCCCTCTACTCTGCTCTCGTGAGAACCCACTCGGAGTATTATGTGCAATTCTGGTGTCCTCAACATAAGAGGGACATGGAACTGTTGGAACAAGTCCTGAGAAGGGCCACAAAGATGATCAGGGGGCTGGAGCACCTCCCATATGAAGACAGGCTGAGAAAATTTGGGTTGTTCATCCTGGAGAAGGCTCCGTGGAGACCTCATAGCAGCCTTCCACTATCTGAAGGGGGCTATAAGGATGCCTGGGAGGGACTCTTCATTAGGGACTGTAGTGATAGGACAAGGGGTAATGCGTTAAAACTTAAACAGGGGAAGTTTAGATTGGATATAAGGAAGAAATTCTTTCCTGTTAGTGTGGTGATGCACTGGAATGGGTTGCGGGGGGGGTGTGGGTGTGAATGCTCCATCCTTGGCAGTGTTCAAGGCCAGGTTGGACAGAGCCTTGGGTGAGATGGTTTAGTGTGTGGTATCCCTGCCCATGGCAGAGGGGTTGGAACTAGATGATCTTAAGGTCCTTTCCAACCCCAACTATTCTATGATTCTATTATTCTAATACAACTTTTTGTGTATGGAGTGATACCCAAGGAAACAGAGCTGAGGAATTCCTTCCATAGGATCACAACTGTCTGAGAATCCTCTGTATGTGGTTGGCCTCATTAGATTATTCACATAATTCTGGGACCAGCTTCTTGGTGTAGGGCTACTTCATTGTTTAAAAGGAAAAATAAGCTTTTAAGAAATAGAGAAAAAGTAGTACTTGAAAATATTGTTGGAATACACAAAACATTGAAGAATCTTTAAGCAGCAATGAGCAATAAGTACGGCATCTCTTTCCACTGCTGTTTTAACAGCAGGGTTGGCTGTTGCTAGAAATGGCTTGATATGATGGATTTTGCCATGGGAAAGAGATAGATTAGATCAGAGGGTCCAGATTGTGCAGACCAGTTGTTGTCCTGAAGATATCAGAGGATCACCTTATGAAATAGTTGAGTGGGTTTTGGATTTGCTTTTTTTTGGAAACATGCAAAGCAAACCCCACTTATGCTTGCATTTCTTCTAGTACAAGCAAGCAAAGGTAAAATGATGGCAAATAATAACAATAAATTGAATTATCCATGCTCTACCCTAAATAATCTGGTTAAAAATGAAAATAATTTTGACAACACTGCAATAAATGATAAATTGGGTTTCCTCCTTTCCCTTGCTTCTCACCGCAAAATAAGCTGTGGCTTTTTTTGGTTCAGAGATCAATAAATATTGACCTAAGTGAGATATTGAGGTCCTTCATATTATTTTTTCAAAATTTTTATTGTGTTTACAGAACCAATTGCTTTCACACCCCAGAACAAAAGTTCATGGTTTAGACTTGTGTAATCATATTCTATTAAGTGCTTTTATTGCAGTTTTCATTGTTTGAATATTTTTTAGTTTATGTTTTTGAATATGTTTTGCTTTATTTTTTCCTCCAGCTTTTTTACCAATAGCAGCATATTGAATTCTCTTCTATTAGGAAGAAATGAAATAGCAGAGTTGGCTGGTTTTATGCTTTGCTCCTTTTTTTTTTTTTTCCTTTTTAACATTTACAATAGGAGCACTTTAGTTCAAAAAAAGTTGCAATACATTTAGCTAATTTTTGGATGCTACCTTCTGTAATAAAATAAACTTTTTGAATGTATAGTATTTTGTGAACACTTGCTACAGGAGTAGAATTACTGAACAGAACTGATTTTTCTATAGTTCTGTTGAACAAGCACATTGACAATTTAAATAGGGAAATGTCTATTAGATATTGCAATCTTTCTGTAGAAGAGCTTAGGCTAGTCATGGAGGAAGTCTTCTTTTATATCCAGCTCTTCAAGTTTTAAACAAGATCATAAATTTCAGTGAAAGGCAAAGCATATTTTTAGAATGAAATGCTCTTAAAGGGAAGATGAGTATTCTGATTTTCTTTGTAGAAAAATGTTAGCACTTAATAAATGGGTTTATAGTCATTCTACCTTACATTTAATGCTGTTTCTAACTCTTAGGGTTTTCTATATATTTGTTTTTCAGGCAGCAGTATCTGTCCAAAGTCTTTAATATTGTCTAGACCTTGTGCAGCGGGTGGCACAACCAGGCCAGTTGAGCAGAATGTGCACAATGAAGCGCCTCAGGGAATAAATGGAAGTGTGCCAGTCAAGCAATACCCACGTTCAGCTTCAAATCCAAAGCCACAAGGTAAGGAGCTTCAACGATCTTTGTTAGGGAAGTTGTTCTTCATCTCAGACTTTAAGAAAGAGTGCCTTGAAAGACCTGTATTTGTCAGAAAGAAAATAGTGGGGTAAAAGCTTGCTAGTGAAATACAAATGTTCAATAAATGCTTTATAAATCTGTAATTTCTGATAATGTTTTGCTGAAGAAGGTTCTCAGAAAGAAGGTTGGACTTACTAATGTGTTATAAGCGCATAGGTCTCGTAGGTAGAGATGAGAGAGAGTGTGCAAACTCCTTACTTGTATTAAACTATTTGCAGAGCTTATCTTTCAAAGGGATTACTGCTTGTGAGCTGGAAGGTTTTGGTACTATTTTTGAATTTGAGCGTTGGCAGGCTGCTGGTTCTGGTGGGAAAGATATTCGGGGCCTTTGGAGTTCTACTGGAGCTTGAGAAGGGCCCTTCTATTGGGAGTATGTGAAAAGATGGGAACTCTGTGTTCATGCTGTAAAAGCTGACCAATAATATCTGCAAAGTAAATTTCCCTTCTTTCTGTCCATAAATAGCATCTTCACTTTTAGAAGCTCAGTAGGTCCACCTACATGTTGACTTTATGAATCTAAATCTAAAACCATTTTTCATGTGGTCTTCTCAGTAATATTGATGATTCTGCTGAGGCTGATCACAACAAAGTCAGCATATTCTGGAAATCTTGTATTGAAAGCAAGTCTGGACTGATGTTTTTTAGGTGTGACATACAATAGGTATTCCAGTCTTCTCAAAAGTTAAAAAAAGAGCTATGGTCCTGCTTAGTGAACTGGATGTGACTGATATGACAGAAATTACAATTGCTTATAGAAAACTAGGTTACATTTAAATCATGTATAGAAGCTGGAATCATGTAGAGTTATTATGTAATGGATTTAACAATCTGTGTATCACTTACTTGGGAAATGTGCCTTGAATAATTTTGCATCAGTTCATTTTAGAGTTAATGGGGGAAGAAATTTGTCGGGGTGTCAAGGAAGTTTTGTTTACTTAGCAAAATAAAGCTGTAGGTTTTTCATTGTTTGTTTTTATAGAACTTTTGCCAGTATTGCTCACAAAACTGTTTTTATCAGTCATATGCAAACATTGCTTATCGGAGTAGTCTTTCTGTGCTAGTTTCCAGGTCTCTGAAATGTGTTCTCTGCAGCTAATTTAACAAGAGAGCATGTATTCTTCCTAAGAAAAATATTTTGGGAATCTGTTAATGGATAAACATAAATGGGCACTCAGTAAAAAGATTTTAAGCCTTTCAAAAACAAAGCCAGCCCACTTATTATAAATATTAGCTGTTAGATAAATTAGGGGTTGGATATTACTGAACCCTATTCATTCAAATAGTTACACAGCTGTTGTGCTTTCCTAGCCATGACTTCTGTGTTTGACAAAATTGCTTGCTATAAAATGCCACATTGCCAATGCTGTAGTTTAAGAAATGCAGCTGTGTAGATTATATTCAATAATGCTGTCGTAAATAATATTTTGTCTACTTTGTTGATGAGCCTATGTCTTTCTCCATTTATTTCTGTTAAACATGTGCATCATATTGAAGTTATATAGTATATATTTTTGGCCTTTTTATTTAGTTGAAGCAAATCAAAACAGAACGAATTAGATAGGCATTTGGGAGACCAAACAATCCAAGCAAATAAAATTGTTCTAGCTTATTGGTTTAAGAGCTTTTCATGTACAGGTACAGAAACATTTTTGGTTTATTGTAGCAGAAAGTGTTTTTCTAACTGGTTGTTCTGTTCATGCAAATAACTATTTGTCCTTTCATAGTGAGAGGAAACAAGATGACAGACGTGAATTGTAGTGCCACTGTATTTAGTTGTTGAACTAATTGCAAAATGACCTTCATCTAACCTACCAAAATGTATATAATTAAAATGAGAAACGTAAAGATAGTTTTGAGACGTGTTACAAGTGGAGTTACAGCTATTTTTAGTAAATTCAGTTTTCATAGAGAAAACAGAGCTTTAATATAGAGGAAAAATGTCCAAAATCTTGCACTTGAAGTGAACCTTGGACTCTGAACCTGTTGTCTGTACTTGGTCTTTGAGAAGTAGTTTTAATATTTGGAAACAGGGTCACTCAGGGTAGCTAGATCAAGTGAATAACTTTCTCAGCAGAATGCAACATAAAATTGTTAATTTTCTTGGTTTTCCCCTGGCATTTCAAGAAGCAAAATAGCCAGCTGTGTGATACACAGTAGAACAGCAGTATTTGTTCCACTGTAATTCCTTCCACCAGTAATATAGCAATTCATATGTCAGATTTATGTGTTGAATACAGTTTGATACATGTATATTTGGGACAAATCCTGAAACTGACTGAAGGTCAATAAGGATGCTAAGCAAAGATACCAGGACCTTGGAGGAAAGCAATTGCATTCTGTACCGGCTGTGAAGGATGAAGCAAATTGTTAGGTAATTTTGAATTTGCCCTTAACTGCAAATACACGGGCAGCAATCTTAACCCAGCAACAGCAGAATGCATGTAGAGTGACATCTACAAAGTGACTAGGTTTTTTGTCTAATTTCTTCTATTCGCTGCTCTTTCAACCTCTTGCATGAGTTTTAGATGATGCCCAATTACTAAATACTGGGCACCGAAACTGTTGTCTGTGCCAGGCAGTTTTATTGTAGGATGAAAAATATGTTGAAATGTCAACACTTCTTCAAAGCAGTGAAGTGTCTTGTCAGTTCAAGACTGTGCATCAGTTTGCTCATTTAAATTTTCCTAACGAGTGCTTAGGAGTACTTGTGAGTCTCCTGCTGAGGCTGAAGAAACTTTTTTGTTTGGGTTGGAAATAATTTTCCACTCCAGAAGATGGCCCGATTTGTGCACTGAAAAATGATACAGACATAAATCATTCAACATACAGACTTCAGCAGTCATTTGTAGCTGACTATTTACTGTGCAACATCAATCCTGTCCTCCTTTCTCAATTCTAATGCAGCCTGTGGTCTTCAAAGTATTCAGTGGCCTGGGCCCAGAAAAGCTGAAAAGACCTTTTAAAGGTCTAGGGTGTAGACTGTACTTCTTTGGCAAATGAAATTTTTACAATTAAAGGTGAATTGAACTAAAACTTACAGCTGTTTCTAGCTGGATTACTTCAATTTCAGTGGTACTTTAAGAAACCTGTAACAATTTCTATTTTAACCACGAAACTGCTAAATTCCAAATTATATCTGTCAGGAGAACGAATGAACAAAGCACATCTGATCATTATTAGTCTTTCTTACTATATTACTGGAAGATACTTGTTCTGATGTGATAAAGACCAGTGTGGAAATTTGCACCCTAAAGAGGAGGTAACTTTTTCTGCTGAGGTCACTTTGTACTGTTCTTGCGAATGTAATTCTTTGGTATCTCTCCAGCTGTGCTCGTTTGATCTTCCTGAAGGTGATGAAGCATGCAAGGAGGTGCTGAAGCATGATTCAGCCAGGAGAGTTGTAGTAGCTTACCACAGGAAATTTTAACTGTCTGTTTTCATTGAATCAAAGTGCATGGGCATTTGTGACCAGCAGGAGTTAAATGTGTACAGGGAGATTGAACATATTTTTTAGGAGGAGAGATAAATGATCTTTGCTAATATGCTTTGGAGTCAGCAAAGGTGGTTTCACCTTTTGAGCCATTTGTACCTCCCATTTCTTTATGTACATGTACAAATTTGAGTGCATAATTACTTATCACAGCTTAAATCCTGAGTAAGTACTTTGGCTAGTGTTATACAGTAGCAGCTACCTGAGTATACTGAGGAGTTTTCTTTAGGCGGACTATGCAGTTTTTATCTCCTAATGAGCTCAAAATTCTACAGTATAGAGACAAGAGTATTTATAGACTTGAACAGAGCTCTCTATTGTGCAGGGTATTACAATGGGCCAGTCTTTGGGTTTTTCTTTTTTCTTTTTTTTCTTTTTCCTTTTTTTCTTTCTTTAAGATCTTTGCTGTGTGCACATTGAAAAATAATCTGATTAAAACAAAGCACTACAGAAGTACACTGAGGCGAGAATTAATAGAATTTATTTTCCATAATCCCTGTTAACAAGGTTGACCTTACAGGAAGGTTTGTTTTGTTTTTTTTTTTTTAATTACTAACTCTTTTATTTCCATTGATCTTGTGACTGTTCTTTTTCCATTGCTCTATTTCTAAAGCTTATAGTAGCTACAGCAGCAGCTGATTAGGGGAAATGTTGATTGTTAGATGGTTATAGAGAGTAAAGAAGAAAATATCTTGCATTAATTAATGCTGCTATTTGGTTTGTGGTTCTCCTCTGAAGATACTACAGTGATTTTCAATATACTGGGATTGTGCAGGTTGATCAGAGGCTTCTTGTGTTTGCCATACTGTAATGCTGCTAAACTGGGTTTTTTTTGGTAATAGCTGCAAAATTTGCACCACCTCCACAGAATGTCCTAGAATTTGATTTTTGTCCCAGTGGATCCAGTATAAAAATAGCTTTCAACTAATTCCTTCTGCTTTATCAGTAGACATTAATTCCCTCCAGTTTAGTAGTCTTAATATATCCTTGTGAGAATATTAACATTTTATGAGATGTACAAAAGAATTGAAGAGATGTATGAGTTTGTTAAATTGTTGGAGCAATCCCAGGCACAGCTACAGGCTGGTCAGAGAAGAGATTCAGAGCAGCTCTGCGCAGAAGGACTTGGGGGTGCTGGTTGATGAGAAAATGAGCATGAGCCAGCTTCAGTGTGCACTTGCAGCCCAGAAAGCCAACCGTATCCTGGGCTGCATCAAAAGGAGCGTGACCAGCAGGTCGAAGGAGGTGATCCTGCCCCTTTATTCTGCTCTCATGAGACCTCACCTGGAGTATTGTGTTCTGGTGTCCTCAACATAAAAGGGACAGGGAACTGTTGGAACAAGTCCAGAGGAGGGCCACGAAGATGATCAGGGGACTGGAGCACTTCCCATATGAAGATCGGCTGAGAAAGTTGGGGCTGTTCATCCTGGAGAAGAGAAGGCTGCGTGGAGACCTCATAGCAGCCTTCCAGTATCTGAAGGGGGCCTGTAGGGATGCTGGGGATGGACTCTTTATTAGGGACTGTAGTGATAGGACAAGGGATAACGGGTTAAAACTTAAACAGGGGAAGTTTAGATTGGATATAAGGAGGAAATTCTTTCCTGTAAGGGTGGTGAGGCACTGGACTAAGTTGCCCAGGGAGGTTGTGAATGCTTTATCCCTGGCAATGTTCAAGACCAGGTTGGGTGAGGCCTTGGGTGATATGGTTTAGTGTGAGGTGTCCCTGCCCATGGTGGGGGGTTTGGAACTTGATGATCTTAAGGTCCTTTCCAACCCTAACTGTTCTATGATTCTAAATAAGAGAACTTACAGGACCACAGGCTGTACAAAATCCATTGCAAGAGCAAGAAGTGTTTCTACAAACTAGTGTAGCACTGGTCAGTAAATCCACCCAGCTTCCCCTTCCATCTTCTCCCTGAGGGAATGGCAGTGTCCATGCTCAATTATATGTCCTGCTTTTCCCCAGCCCGCTTGCATCGCCTTTTTCAGCTGTCCTATCATCGTTGTCGGCATAGCAAGCTATTCAGCACTTGGACAATTATCTGATTCTCGTTGGCCTAATTCTGCCAGACTTTCTCAGAACTCCCTGAGAAGAGGAAATACAGGGAAAGCTGCTCCACTGCACTGCAGCTTCAGCTGATCAACTGTATGAGGCTTTGCAGAAGGGGCTTTAGTTACTGCAGAAGCTGAAGCAGTTATACAGTTATATATTCTGCTTGTTTCATGCATTGTAACTATTTTAAAATTGCATTAAGTCATCCTTTCTGCACTGTATCTTTCCCCAGACTTGCTTTTTTGCTTGTGTTAAATACAAGATCAAGCTTAAAAGAACCAAAGATATACACAGTAAAAGCATCTGGTCTGCAGTAGTTCTCTTCCTTCTCCGATAATCTCATGTATCAGCATTGTAGTTGATATGGTTGAAGTCTAAAGCTTTTTGTAGTGCATTCAGTTCTTGACAGAGTCCCATGTGGTACTTTTCAGACCACAGCAATCACTACAGTCCTAAATATGTGCAATTAGGTTATTGAAAGCATGGATAAATATTACCTTCTCTAAATCAACGTAAGCTAGAAATTGAAAGTCATCTTTAATCATGTATTCCTTCAAGTTTATCACAGTCTGTGATAGTATATTTGCAAGAATTTTTTGAACAGCATTTTCAAATATCAGCCGATGGGATTTTAAGCTAATTTCTGTGGTGCTCAGGTTTTCCAGGTCAGTAAGCTAAACTAGAGCCAGCGATGTGAGGAATATGGGTGACTTTCACATCCATTTATTGCGTATCCTGTATTAGTATTTACTTTTCTACCACAGGAGTTGCACAAGAGTGATTGCTAATGCCAATTCCTGTCTTCTTTCACTTCGTGTTTGCTCCCTGGCAGGTCTGTGTAGCTGCTGGAGGGACAGATCCTATGGCACACTGGACTGTGGTAGCTGTGGAGAGATGGCCAAGATGCAACTCCTGCTAATTTATGCCTGTCTTTTATTAAAGGGCAGATATAGTCTTTCTTTTCAATTTCAGATCAAATGCTTTCACTTCTCCCCACAGTATGCTTTGGGAGTTTGTGTGGGAATGAACGGAGCTGTATTCTTGGGAATTAAGGAGATTTCCATTAAGTTTCTCTTTTTGATGAAGCCAGACGCGTACTGCTCTGATAATGTAACACGTCCAGGCCCAGTCTGTGAAGTTGCTTTTGCTGCCCACTGATGCTGCAGAGTTGCTTAAAGGGATAAAAGTTAAAGATCCCCAGCACTTGTGATCCCAGTTGCTTTATGCGTCACCTTGTCTTTCATGCTGCAGTCACTGCTGTATTAAACAGTGGCTGATCATTAACAATCTAATTAGAAGGACTTATGATAGGGATGGGGAAAAACCAAGAAGAATAAAGCATTTTTCAGGGGGGCAGGTTTTCAGGAGTATAAGTAGACAAAGGTTCACTGAATAAAGCAAGCTCAAAGTCAAAGGCAAATACCTTTTCCACTGACTATTATTAATGAGGGCATGAGGGAGAAGATAGAGAATGAAAGCACAAGAGTTTTGAGGCAGCAATTTAAATCTCTCTCCTGAGCTCCACAGCACAACTAGATCCCTTGATTATGCTTAATTGGTTTTTATGATAAAACCTGCTTTTATGGAGGCCATATGTGGGTTTGCTGCAGTACACTATAAAAAACACTAAACACAAAAAATCCCCTGAATTTTCTAGCTTGTTAAGGTAGCATATGGTTTGTCTTTTATCCAAGAAATATAAGCTGATGCCTGATACCAGACAGAGCATGAAAACCCTATATGAAGTCCCTGTATTCTTAAAGCAACTCTAAGGTTAAATAAAGCCAAGGCCATCTTTTCTCCATTACTGTTGTATGTTCTTATGTAGAAACCTCCTATGTGTTCTGACAGTTCAAAGGCACAGTTCATTAGTTATTGATTATTGTTGTTGTTTGCAGTGCCTCCAAAGCCAATTCATCTGCAGAAGGTGTCACCTGTTCCATACCAAACCCCTAGGCATAAAGCTTTATCAAATCAGAAACCAAGAATGGAGGAAGAGACGCCTGCCGCTGTTTCTGGTGTCACAAAGGAAAAGTCCAGTAAAGTATCAGATCTCATCAACCGTTTTGAGGGAGGCAGGTATGTGATAGAATTTGAATTGGTTTGTTGCTCTTTTGTATATAGACTGTTGGAACTTAAACCTGTGAGGAAGAGCATTGGTACTGTGATAGTGCTCAAATGAACCCCTGCCAGAGGAGTTGATGGCAAAACTGTGTGTGTTTTGAAATGATGTGAGCCAGTTATATATTTGGCCTGTACAAGGTGTGCTTTTTCCTAAGGGGGTAGTATTCTAGTCTTAATTTTTCTTAAAAATAAGTCCAAAACCAAAAACCAAACCAACCCCTCCCCAAAACCAAACCAAAACAAACAAAACCCACCAAAACCTAAGCAACAAACAAACAAAGAATTCCATGTGAACTAACTTGGAGCATTTTTTAAAACATCCTGAAAAGCATCAGCAATTTGAAATAACTGCTGGTTTTAGAATGAAAGATTGGAGCTAATCTTAAAATGTTTTGTTCTTGCAGAAAAAAAACATTTACTTTTAGAAGTAAATAGAAAAACCTGAGATCCAGATGTTTTATACTGTCTCAACCTCTTCAGATCATTGATGTGGAGAGGGTGAACTGTACAAGTTACTCGCATTGATGTGGCATAAGTTGTTTAAACTGCTTTGTAGTACTTGGTGATTTTGGTGGGTTAGCTTAGTGTTCCTGAATTTTGATACTGTCTCTTACAGGAAACATTTGAAGCTTTGGGAAATGAGCCACAGGGAACTCAGTTTTCACAAAATAGTGTTACTTGTGTGTCTTTAATTAGCTGTATGTGACAAGCATTAAAATCAACTGAAGTTTCTAATATATCCGCTCTGTGTAAAGAGAGCGACTTTCCAGAAAGCCCACAACAGAGGAACAGCTCAAGAAACAGTCCAGTGACAGCTGAGCCTTGCAGGCCTTGGAATTGGTTTTCTCGTGTTTCCTCAGGATACTGATGTTCTTACAGGATGACCCCTGTGGGAATGAATGAATGATGTGTAACAGAGCATGTCCTTCTAAGGAGCTAGAGTATTAAGGCTTTCATCGGAAGAATTCCCCTCCCCACCCCCCCCACCAGACAGGGGAAATTTAAACCTTTATGCAGAAGAAACTGAGCATTGGAAAAATGCATTTGTCTAGTGGGGCAGAAATAATTTCAGAGCTTCATCTGGAGGAAACTTCTGTTGTTAATCAGGGGCTTAATTGCACTCTGTCATTGCAGCTGCTCAAATATGGGAAAAAGAAATGACTGCAGCACTTGAGGTCCTGTGAATTCTAGCACAGGTCTCTAGTCCTATTACCACATTGTTTCCTAGTTTTCCTCCAAAGCATCACACAAGTCTTTTTAGCAATGTAGAATCCTCAGAATTTAAAACCAGTGAGCACTGCATTTCTTCTTCCTGACGTGCTTGCTGCGTTGTACAGGAACTTCTTCAGTATGGCGCAATTAAAGGAAGTGATAAAGAAAGCAAGGAAAACTTCCTTATTTATAGACTTTTAAAAGTAGGGACCTTTTGTTTTAGGGAGTACGGGAAGCTGAATTGCTTTTTGACTACCATCACCCATTAAGTACATCCAGTCATATGTGTCCAGTGATTAAATTCTCCTCAACTCTGTTATCCCTGCTTATAAGAAACTTCCACAATTAGCATGCTGAGTTCTGGAATATCCTGCTGTGGGTACGGAAGCAATTCCTGTTTTTTAAATGAGCTCAGGTCACAAAATGTGCTTTCCGTGAAGGTGAACTTCACTTTAAATAATTGGTCATCAAATGACTAGATAGCATGTTCATGAACAGCAAACTGATTGTCAGCTATGATAACTTATCTTCATTGGTCTGTGTAGCCCATAAACAGGTAGGTATGGCAGAAAGTTAATTAAACCTCTTTGCTGTGTGCATGCAGTAGAATTAATTTACATTTTTCAATCTTGGAGTTAAGCTTATTTTTTTAAGAGGCATGATCTTTGCATAACTAAAGGGAAACTGATCTGATTTTTTTTCTTATATGACAGCAGCAGATGAACCTGGTGTAAGATATTTTTTGAGCTCTGAATATGGATATACAGAATATGTTTTATAATATTTGTCATAACTGTCCTATAAGGAGTAAACAGAGAGTTTATAAGCAGTCCTCATCTTTTCAAAGATTAATGTTCCATACTGGGAACAATATGTTAGAGGTCAGTCATGCTATAGTTTTGCAAGTTGAATATGGCTTGTTAAAAGTACTTAATGCAAAAATGTATAGGTTTGATTCCGATGATTTTTATGTTTTTTTTAACTATAATGAAGGCAGGCAGTTTTACAGAGTAGGCTACCACTGACAGTGGCCTAAAATTCAAAATCTCAAAAATAAATTAAGAAATAGGTGATTAAAGGTATGGACAAGCAATAAAATACGTTTAAAGCAGGGTTAAAATATGGAAGTAAAAAAAAAAAAAAAAAACCAGGAAAGATGCAGTAAGATGAAAGGACACTGCTAAATAAGGAAACTGGTGGAAGAAATGGATAAGAATTCAAAGCTCTTCCTGTAATATGCTGAACTAAGGAAGGGGATACTAAATGTTCTTGGATGTTTTTCATGCATTTTGTGTAATTAAAGGGTAATTAGGGAACAGGCTGCTTGTTAATTTAAGCATTGGACTGAGACTTGAGAGACTGTGAGTCTTTCTACATTTCTGCCAATAATCTTCTGGGATGCTTTGCTTCATGTCTCAGTGCTTCAGTTCCCTTGTCTGTCACATGAAGCTGATCTTACTGCCTTCCATTTTACAAAGGAGATTCAAGACCTATGAGGATTGACAGTGAATTGATATGGATGTACTCTGAATTTCCAGTAAGAAATGCATGTTTGTGTGTGTGCTAATGGAACAATGCAGCTTCAGTCTTGATAGCCTGAACTTCATAATATTAACACAGAAAAAAGGGTTTGGGAGGATTTCATTATGTGGTGCACCTCTCGTAGTCCCCATACCAAGGATTTTCTATAACACCATGTTTATCTTTTCTCTCATCTGTTTTATTTTTTGGTGTTTTTAGCTCATTAAATCCTAATGATTTGAAGAAAGATTCCTCTGTTCTCCACATTTCTAAATCTCAAGGAAGATATGGGTTAACACCAGCACCTCAGCAAAAACTCCCACTACAAAAACAAAAGCACCCGTTACAAAACCAGGGAAATGGTAATACTGACAAAACTCAGGTTGCAGAAATACACACAGCCAACGGAGTAGTAGCACAAGACCAGATAGAAGACGACGACAGGAGGATACCAGATCATGGCTCTGCTGTGACCACCCCGGTTCCAGATAATGCCATCAACAGCAGCTTGATAAATGGGGAAAGAGAAAGTACTTCCAGAGAGTCACTGCAAAGTCTATCTGCCTGTGAAGGACAGATGCTTAACAGCTGCTATAGGACTCCAAGCAGTGACACACTGCTTCCATCTGAAAATGAAACTCTAGAAATTAATACAAACATGAAGGAAGAACCAACTGAGGAAATCAGTAAGCAAGATCAACCTGTAGAAACAAAGGTAACAGGAAAAAAACCCTTTTGTTCTTGCTGTATTACTACTGTGTGTATTTTCTCTAGGTTTTTATTTACAAAAAATAAGCTTCCAAGAGCAAGTCAGAAAGCTGAAAATCTTTTGGTTATTTTTCCTCTGAAAAAAAAAAGACAGGAAATAAAAGTTTTATTTGCCTTCCCCATTAGTTATCTGAGGTTTTTAAAAAAGGTCAAACTGAAATAGGTGTACATGCTTACCACTATGCTTCAGCTGTGCCAGAGTACAGGGGTCATGTTAATGGTGTCTATAAGCCAAAATTCCATATGTAGTAAACTACAGTGAGAGGGCTTCAGGCGGAACTACTGTGTGAATCCTTAACCTAGGGTAGTTGTCAAGTAAAAGCTGAAAAGGCAGTGGCAGTGTGCTCACTATCAGAGAGACACAAGGTTCAGAATATAATAATGATATGCCTTGTTAGTAAGGAGAACATACATCATGATGTATTTGAGCTTACTTGTAAGGAAGGTTTTAAATAATTAAGGGAAATAAGTGGGTGGAAGAAAATCTGTCTTGGGCAATTAATTGCTGAAAAATTGTGCATATTTCCACTTCTGAAAGTTTGATTAAACAGTTTGTCTTCTCATACTGAAACATTGGTAGCTGGTGAATATCATTAACAGTCCTGTTCCATCTGTGTCCTGTGTAAGTCACGACAGGAAGGGATTACTGAGCTGGACCCTTCTGGCTTCCTCTTCACCTGAGAGCCAAATAGCTGAGTGCTGATAAAGTTAATCTCTACTTGTCATTAATCTGCATCAGTTAACAACCAACCTCTCCAAGCCCTTGAGTTTGGTTAGCTAGAGGTCACATACCTACAATTTGAGGATAATTTCTCTCTGTGGGAAAGGTGTACCTCAAATTCTCATGTATTATAGGGTAAAGAATCCTAGAAATTGACAAGAAGGTGATGGGTTGTGTGGGTTTTCTTGTTTGTTTTAGGGGTTGCTTTTCCCAGTAATGAATGAATGTTATGATTGCCACCTAAAAATAAGATTGGTCCAAGTCTGCGACAAGTCCAAGGCACTTTTAACCTGCCATACCTCTCATGTTTCTGACTCCTGTTCGGTAATGCCTGTTTCCCCTCTCCATGCCTAAAAGGCATGCTGAATGCTCTGTGCGCAATGATGTTAAGCTTGAATCCAAGTCACGCAGTAAGGGATTGGCAGTATTTTCAGGAAAAAGCAGAAATGGGAGGCAGCCCTGTTGTAAAGTGCAGGAAGGAACTAGGGAAATGCTAATGGCAGCAATCTCTTCAAAATCTGTCTTTGAGCTGCTGGGATCAGCACATGTGATCTGTCCTATACTGACCAAGAGTAAAATTGTGAGGTGTGACTGCTATTGTATGTATTGTTTGCTGGTGCTTAAAGGGTAAAAACCCTAAACAGTCCAAACCCATGCAGGAAGACTCTTAAGTCAGCATTGGTGGAGAGCTGAATCTCTAAAACTGAACTGGATCACAGCAGTGTTTCCTGAGATGCAAGCTTACTTGTGACACAAGGACATCCCCTTTAATCTAGTGAGATGAAGAAGCGGGACTACCACAGACTGATCTAAGGGACATGCTTTACAAAATGAAGCACTGATTTAGTTTGAATTAATGCAACCTATAATTTGAAATCAGCCCTCTGGAGGTCTAAGTATCTGCTGTCATGCTGTCTGTAATAGGAGGAAGGTAAAGACGAACAAGAAAAATTTGCTAAAGCTTTAAGCTGTTTATGCATCCAAGCAAAAATATGAAAGAAGCATAAGCATCAGACAGCCTGTGATTTTGCTAAGCACCCACTTTTTGTAAAGTAAAAGAATCTTAAAACTGAGGTGCGATCCAGCTGAAGTTGCTCTGCACAGACTAACTGCACTCTTCTGACCTGTTTAATTAAGTACGTGTTGGTACAGTTAAGTAAAAGCAATAAAAACGGATGCATGTGAGTCATAGACAAACTTTAAATTATTCATCTTATATATACATATGTATATGTATATTGTGATACTAATGCGAAGCATGTTGTCTCTTGCATGCCATATATCCTAATTAAGGGAAGAGGAAAAAAAGTGGTAATATATCTTTGTAAACACATACACATAGAGGAGGAATAAATTAAGTGGTGGAAGTGGTGAATTAAATTGGGGAATGGTGCAAAACCAGAGCAAAAAGTACTTTTTAAACTTCGAAAAGAAAGCTTATTTTGAAATAGTGTTGCTGTTACAGCTATTTCCCCCCATCCGCTTATCACTGTAGATCTGACTAAAGTCAGATTACTGCAGGATCTGGAAAAGTTGAGACAAAATGTCTTGAATTTGGCAGTGTTCTGAAATGTTTTCCCTAAATGACCAGAACATAGAATCATAGAATCATAGAATAGTTAGGGTTGGAAAGGACCTTAAGATCATCAAGTTCCAACACCCCTGCCATGGGCAGGGACACCTCGCTCTAAACCATATTACCCAAGGCCTCGTCCAACCTGGCCTTGAACACTGCCAGGGATGGAGCATTCACAACCTCCCTGGACAGCCTATTCCAGTGCCTCACCAAACATGTTTTCAAATTATTTACTGAATTAATTTGAAAGTCACAAACCACCAGTATCACAAGTGAAAAGACAATTAGAAGTTAAAAGTTTCCTGCCTCACAGCAGAAGCACCTTCTGTCATAAAATTTGGTCCGCTGAAAGTGCGGAGGCTGACTAGTATGAGAACATCCCAGTCGGTTAACTTCCTGAGTAACATCTTGTGAGAAATCTGCTTCTAGAGTTAGCTGAAGGCAAGCAGACAAATGCTTCGGTGTTTGTTGTGAGACTGGTAGAAAATGGGGATATAGACTGCAGGCATGCCACAGATGGAGAAGAATCCATTGCACATCTTTCGTGATGTCCTTGCTCTATGTTTTATTTCAATGGCAATGCTGTGGGCTGTGATATTTCAAATGCAAAACCTGATGGAGGTGGTATATTTCTAAAGGTAAGGTCAAGTTCTGATTAAAATAGGTTGAAACTTTATTGCAAAGTTAATCTCCTGCCAATAAGCATTTTCCTGTTGCAACACTTAAGAGGTTTTTCCAAATTCCTACTGGTTCTACAATTTTGTAGTCATCTTTAGCAACAGTAAATTCTGAACAAAGCTGTGTGTCTTTAGCACCCAATATAAACACATAAATCCTCTTGAGAAGAGCTGCTTCTTTAGGGATACCAGGATCTTTACTGTTTTTTTTGGTTGCTGTGCAAGAAACTCACCCATCATTTCTGCAATGGGCTGTTGTATACAGTTAATATGCCAGAAGGTGATGGTATCATTCAGGATTTGCACTGCAGGTCTTGCAAAATATAGTGGTTTCCTTGATTTCAGAAACTGAGGACTCGAGAGATTAAAGGAAATCTTGAATTCTCCTGGATATTTTCATTTATATTCCTAATACTTAGGGAAGAAAACTATTGTTTGGGTCATGAAGCAGCTGCGAACATGAATGCCATTCAGGACATGAATGGTTTTAGAAAAGAAAGACTCATTATGTTACTTCAGACCAAACTCAGCATTACAAACAAACAAGCACAGCATAAATTGAATGATACTTGTTCATACTCTACATCTCTCATTCTGTGTTTCTTAACATTAGTGCAAAGCCCTTGGGGCAAGGGCTACACCTAAATAGGATTGAATCATATATAACATCGCTGTCATGACAGTAGGTATTGTTTTTGTGGTAGGAGACAGCTCCTACCAAGGTTTGAACAATAAGTTATGGCTATATTGGAATTGAGGTTTATGTAAAGGCTGCTTTACATTAGCATAATTTTTGCAACTTTAGGACAATGGAAAAAACAATGTTTGGAAATATGAACACAGGTACAAACAGTTCATACTCTCAGCAGCATTTTTCGTATTACTTCTTCATTTCAGACTTCAAGAACAATTTAAGTAAAAATCACTTGCTGGAATTTCTGGAGCATCCATGGAAACTTAATGATTCTAAGGACATGCAATTTGATATAGACTACATAACTAGGCCCAGGTGAAACACTTACTGTAAGCATTCAAGTTTGCAGTCCTGCCTGATGTACCTACTGTTATCTCACTTCGGATATTTTGATCCACAGTTAAAATCATATACCTCTAATCTGAGCATTCTCTATGTAGCACAATAGCCATTTCTCTTTGGCTTATACACTGGGTTGCCCTGTGTTACAGATTGTCGTGGAAGTTTGAAATGTTCCCTGAAATCATTGACAAGTTTTGATGAAGTGATAGAGGATGTGTCCACGTATACCTTGTAATAAATTTTTGTCTCACTATTTTTTGTTAGAAGCAAGTTAACCACTATATCAGTATAATAAAAGTATAAATCGTAGGAGGGAAATAGAAAACTTTCCAGAAAATATGTTTCCATGTCTTTCATTTTGGTTACTGTGCTTGTGAAGAGGAGTGAGGATTTATGGTTATATCCCACAAAAATACAGCTTAACTTGTAACTTGAGTATTAAAATTCCCTTTTGCTATTAATTATTAGATTTTACACATTTATTCTTTAGGGAAGCATTGAAGTTCTCAAAAGCTGAATACTAACTTCATGTTTTCCATGTTTTTTAAATATTTTTTTCTTTAGGAATGTTCCTCCATTATCTCCACAAGGTTTTTCAAGGCTGTTTTGCTGAACAGCTCTAATAACGAATAGCTCTGTCATTCTCACTGTCACAAATATCATTCAGGATTTATCTCCAAATTATGTTGTAAGAGTTGCTGCTTCTGCTTGGAACAGCCAAATTCAGATCTGCAAAAGTTGAGCCTCTTCTTGGAGTGTGCCTGTCTTGAGTCCATAGCTTTCTCCTCCATGCCTGCTGTAAGGAGGGCTGGGTGGGCACTTGCAGATGAAGGTGCAGCATAGTGTGGTGTGTGCTGCAGCAGAGCTGGGATGGCTGCGGATGAATTCTCTGAAATCAGGAAAAAAAGGATATGTACACATACATATTATATATACACACATGTGCATCTATGCCAGCTGCAGCACTCGTTTTGAGCAGTTGCTGGGTTTTTCCACCAAATGTGCTGTACTGTGTAGCGTGGTGCTCCAGGACCTGTAAGCCCACTCATGCATCTGGTCCCAGTTCACCCCATGTGCTCAGGACAAGCAGCTGCCACTTCCATCAGGAAAAGCTCCACAGGAGGTGAATGCCACTAATAGCAAAATAGCCTGGGTGGTGTTGTTTTCAAGCTGGACTGACCTTGTGGACACCAGGTGCTTTTCTATAGATAGGATACTAGAGACACTGAAGTTGGGTGAATGACTAGGGAGGAGGTTGGAGATAGTAGCAGAAAACCCAGTTGGGAGTTCATGTAACGTGGGCAAATCTTGAGATGGTGGAGCGGGAAACTGAGGACTTCGCTAAAATAGAAGTGGCAATAGAGCTTTGTGTTATTTTTGCACTGATCTAACCCTGTAGGTGGGTGTTCTTATGCTGGAATAAGAACATGAGACTGTGATCAAAAGATACATCATCCGTGGTGTGTATTTTTTGCCCACATAAAAGGTTCTTGTGTCAGATAGCGCAGTTGATGTAGAGAGAAAGCTGCGGCTCAAGAGGTAGGAAGATGTGAAATGTTGATACTGAGAGGGATGGGAAAGATGGGGTCAGAGTGTACTGGGAGAGGAAAAGGGATTTTTCTGAGTTAGGAGTGAGGATTAAAGATTTATTTTTTTTTCTAATTGCTCATTTTATGTGATAGCTTTGAGTCTGCTGCATGTAATTTTTCCCCCCTCTTAATTAGTTGAAGTGATCTTCTGAAAATTGCAGATTGATTCTATAGCTGTACTTCAGGGAGCCAAGGAATCAGTAGCCCCCATGGTTTTGTGCCTCTAGTCCACATATGAGATCCCTTGTAAATGGCTGTACTAAACGGCGTGCTGTAGCCATTAATAGCTAATTCTCCAGCTCCCTACAATGTCTCTTGACAGCACTTAAAATGCTGTTCTGTACATTACTGTGGTTGCTGTGCTGATTTAAACAGATTTAATGAACAGCTTTGAAGTTACTGTTGAAAGCCTATATTTAGGGAGGAGGCTTGCCATGTAGCAGTGTGACTGTTAATACTGAAGATTAGAATTGAAATGTGTTCAGACTTGAAATACTGAATACTGAAAAAGGGGGAAAAAAACCCCACCAAAGTCCTTACATGAAAAGACTGTACTTTAGTATTCAGTATTCTGCAAACCACCCTTATAAATGTACTTGCACATGTTTATCATACTCTTGTGGAAAGCAGTGTGCAGCTTGAAATCACAAATGATTCTCTCAAGCTCTCCTCTTTATTTTTTTAATGAAGTCTTTCCATGGTTTGTCTATTAAGTTGCCACTTTCCCATAAGTGCTGTGCTGAGACTGCTGTTTACTTAGGAAAAGACTTGGATGTTGTTAGATGTGAGCACTTCTAAATCTGGAAGAAAAAAAATCTTGTCATGGAAGTCTTGTTTTGTTGAATTTGACACTCATGAGCCTGAGGCATTTCTGTGCTGTTTTAATATTGTAGAAGGCTGTGCTTTCATTGGTTTTTGTTTTTTTTTTGAAGTAACTTCTCACAGCAACTCACAATTTTATATTCAGACATGTTTAGTTTAATATTGAAGTTTGAATAAACATTTTAAGTTTTCATTCAACAGAAGAATCAAAAACTTATTTATTGGAATGAAAAACTTTAAGTGAAAATTTTCCCTAAGATGAAGTGACTTCCATAAATACAGAGCGAAGGAGCCCTCTCATTGCAGTCAACAATTAATCAGCAATGAGTGTATTGATGAACACAAAACATTTTGCATGATATTTTTTCAATAATTTTGTCATACAAAGAACGTGCAGTTCGAAAAACTTTTGAGATGGGGGTGGGGACGAACGCCAACTGATCCCATCTGTTCCCTCTTACTCAGCAAATCAGTTCCTCCAGCTCTGAAAGGTCAGGTATACTCGATTACTAGGATATGAGGTGATCTGCTGAGTGGTGCTTTGGCAAAGATCCCTGTAAAAACAGGGAAATACGAAAAGTTTTAGGCTTTGAATTTTGCTCTGCTCTTTGACTGATTTTTACCTGTCTCTGACTTCTGTATTTATTGACTAAACTGCTGAAAAGTTTGTATTTTTTCAAAGTGGGGTGTGTATTACTAAATGTGAAACTTGGATTTCAATTGTTCTTTGGACTGTAAGGTAACCATATGTCTATTCAAAATTTTTAAATAATAAATTACATTTCCTCCATTATTCTAAGAGCTCTTCTTATTTTCCTCCAGGAGACAGATGAGCAAAAACGTCATAAAATTGCCAGTGAACTTCTGCAAACAGAAAAAGCCTACGTCAGCAGACTTGACCTCCTAGATGGGGTATGTTTTTCTTCAATTTGTGTTTATTATCTTGCCTTGAATTAATTCGAATGGCTATGTATAAGTGTGTATTTAAATTACATAAAAGGTGGCATGTTTTTCATGTTTTGCTGACTTTTTCAGTCAGTCATTTGCTTCTGCCACATAACTTTGCCTATGTTTCTCTTTTAAAAATGTAGTGTTCTTAAAAGCGTTTGGATTTTGTGGGTATGAATGCAGTATGTTCTGTGTGTATAGATGTCACTATAAGCAATAGTAGAGCATACCGATAGCCCTTCCAACAGAGGATGGATGACCATTTCTTGGCTTCTGGTGAAATAGAGAAGGGTATCATTTTACAATACTGAAATCACCCACCCACTAAAAACTTACTAAATCTTTCAAACTTGAGCTACCCAATCAAAGTCTTTCTTTAGTGCCCAAGAACCTGCGAAGGTGCCCATACTACACTTTTTTCCCACTGTACATTTAGACTATATCTCATTGAAGTGAACAGAAATTACCCTGCAGGAAAGTTCCTGCAAAGAAAGGGTTGACTTTTTTGTGCTCTGTAGAATCAAATTTATATTTCTTAAACAAGAAAGTTTGCAGGTTTTGAGTACTTTCCTTTTAAAGTCTTTACTTCTTCACATAACTCATCAGTTTTACCTGGATGCCTGTAACTTTGTATTGTCTTACTCCGTGATATTTTTCTGAGACATTGCTGTTTAAATTTCTCAGGTATAACGCTTAAGTCTTGTAAAAATGGTTGATGGAGAGTAAAAAGTCTCAACTGATAGAATAATTGTTCATACTGCTTGGGGATGTAAATAACCATCCTCATGAAAGTGGATTTACCTAGCAGATCCATACTAGGATGGATATGTGGTGTGTTTGAAAAGACAAAGCATTGCAGAAAAAGTGCTCTGATTTAGAGAAGCTTAAAAATAAAAAGGAAAATATTTACTTAATTCGTAGTTTTTTCTGATGGGTAATGTACAGTTATTTTCTTTAGTGTGATCATAAGTGAATCACTCCTATGCCTGTTTTCCAAATATTAACTGGATGGAGTTCTGAAGCTGCTCAACTGCTGCTAATAAGGGGAAACCAGGAGAAGACCTGGAAATGACTTACGTTTCTAAACTTGGTTAAAAAGTTATGTAACCTTTATGGTCTTCAAAGTAACTTGTCAAAATTAACTAACTGTCCTCTTGGAGGTGTAGCATGGCAAGTATGTTTTAAAGGATTTGAAAATGCATATGGATTTTTTTTGTTTTAAGGTACTTCTGCTTTCTCAATTGGGATGATCAAAGTTCCTGTCTTCAGACTCTTTTCTTCTTTCCCTAGCCCTTACCCAAACTGCTGAAGCTCTCTTTAGGGAGATGCAGTCTATTCAAGCATGGGAGAGGGAGGTAAAAGGACCAGAGCTCCCCATAAGCACTGTTTTATGTGCATGTTAACAGCTGCACATGTCTCTAGACATTTTGTAGCTGCATTTAGTCAGGTAGAGCCCACTGATGGGGAAAGAATATCTTTTTTAAAAAGATACTATAACAGAATCCAATCAGAACATGACCACTCTGATGCTTTAAATGGTGTGTGAAGACTGCTCATAGTCTGCAATTACTTCGATTTCAGAAGGATGAGGGGATATATCATATAAGGAGAGTGGCTGTGCTAATGGTAATCAGAGATCATGCTAATTGAAAAGAAAGCAAGGGTGGGAAATACAGCTAGAAAACTGGGAAAGCTGAGATGATCTAGCTGTTAAAACAGACAGGATGCCTGGAGTTTATCCAGAATGGCACTACTTCAGTTTGTCTTTCCTTATGTCTGCTCTGCCTGCAGAGCTTTCCTGGTTCACAAGAAAAAACACGTGTGGTGTAAGGGGAGAAGCTTTTACTTCCAGTGATGGAAAGACAATAAATAAGTTTGTCATTACCTGTCTATATTATTGAAATATTAATCTTGTTTCAGTTGGAATAAAAGGGATAAATAAGTGGTCTTTCACTGATTAAAGATAATAGGCTGATATGTTTGGGGCTCTCTTTTTGTATTGCAGGTATTCTATTCCAGACTCCTCGAGGAAGCCAACAGAGGTTCATTTCCAGCTGAAGTGGTCAACAAAATCTTTTCTAACATTTCATCGATAAATGCCTTCCACAGTAAATTCTTACTTCCAGAACTTGAGAAAAGAATGCAAGAATGGTAAGAGGCAATTCACTGGTTAATATACTACTAAAACTGTGTCACAGGATCGAGAGAGGGAAGGTACCTTCATAATAAAGTGCTCCAAGCCCAGGAAGTACTGTGGGTAGGAGGACATCTGCTCTTCCACTCCTTGTTATGATCTGACTCAGTAGAGGACTTGCATAATTTGCACAAAATAAAGGACATGTAGTTCACTGAAGCCAGTAAGATTACTCATGATTAAATACCTTGATGAATTAGGGGTTCAGACTGAAATTGTGTGCTACTTGGTGAATTCACTGTACAGAATACAAAATTGAGATAAATAATGTATTTTGTGCTATGCTATGTACTGTGCTATGCACAGTAACCTTTGTCATTACCACTTTCTGCAATAAGAAATACATTCTTATTTTTCTGTGTTTTGGTTTCATGTTTGGAATAAAAATCCATGTCAGGTATATTCTGGGGCCATTTCCCCCCTAGCTTTTCTTGACTTCTATTTGGAGCAAGCAAGAAGGATAGCCAAGGTGTAAATATACTCTGCAATGATTATTTCAAGATACTGTAATATCTTTATCCTTGGTACATGTAATTCTGGAGATACTAAAATATAGCTACATACTTTTGGTCTCTATGTAACTGTGGAAAAAAGTCCCAAACCACTGCTGTTCCCTACCTTATTTGGGAAAGGGGTTGTCTCATTAAACAACTAACCAACCCAAAAAACCCTACAAATATTGCTTCATCCAGTTGTTTCACCTCAGCACCTGTTTGGGTCCTGTATTCCATATTATCTAGGGTTTGTTATGAGGAATTCAAGTGTTCATTCGTATATAATTTGCAGTTACACTTTCATATAACTCCTTAATTGTGAAAAATCACACTTAAAAATTGAGAAATAACATATTTGCGTCATATACACAGCTCTTAAACCACACAGTTGTGCTTTAGAGAATGGTTGTGTGTCTTCTGACTCTGTAAGATGATTTCCCATTTAAAATAATGATTCTTGAAAATAGAATAGTTACCATCCACAAACACATGATAGCATTGTATAGCTGATAGTGCAAGAAAGTAAATATAATGTAAGCATCCTGAGATACAGGAAGGCTGACACCTTACCTTATGTTCCTTGCAAAATGACCATGTAAGGTAGCCTCACCCTTTTCTTCTAATCAACTGAAAAAAGTCTGTAGGGAATATGAATACTGAGATTAAAATAGAGTGCATATTCATGAGAAGTGGAGTTTAACTTATTGTAATGATGTTTACAAATCAGCTTTATGGGAGTGCTGTATATATTTGAAATGAAATTTGTGAGGTATTCTTAAAATTTTGCTCTAGATACCTTGTAGAGCACAGAAGATGAGATACCTTGTAGAGCATAGAAGATGGGTTGCACTATCTTAAGCATATGCAAAATTCTAAATTGCTGACTAATACTGTGTGTGTAATACCGTGTTTCAGGACTTGAAAAGTGCTTTTGCAGATGTGCTTTCACTACTATTTTTGCAAAAGTAATAAATTGCATCATACAGAAATTATCTTTCCACATAGCTTGGAAACAACCTCTGTGATGTACCTGAGGCAGCCTGTTTAAATGTCCATAAAACATTATGCTTCTGGGAGGAGTTAGAAGAAAGCGTGCAGTTGAAGAGAATTATTTCTGACCATTGCTGAAAGAAAAAATTGAGGGAAAGATAATTTTCCCTCTGCATCACCAGTCTATGAACTGTCTGGCACAACAGCTTCTGCCAGATAGTACATTTTCCTCAGCAGTTCCCCTAATTAGACATAGAACATTACTTAAACATGTTCTGTTGGTAGGTTTATGCACCACTTCTATTATTCTTTAGCTTCCATTAAAAATAGTTGAATAAAAATTTCTGACACTTTCCCAGAGTTGGGGTTTGTTTTGAAAATTGAAATGAAAAACATATGCTTTTGCAACTGGGAAAGTAGATCAGAAGCAAATTCTTTTTTCTTAGAAGAAAAGGAAGTGTGAATCTAAGCTTTTTGGGTAGAAATGAGATTGTCTGGTAGTTGCATTTTGAATAAGTGGAGCAACAGCTGGAGCCAAATATCTTTTACAACATATGGCTTGGAAACACTAGAAGTAGCCTTATTGTAACATATTTCCCATGGAAAAAGCATAACAGAGCATAACAGTGGTCTCACATCAAACAAAATACCTATCTAACTTTGTATTGTGTACTAGAGGATAACCGAGAGCAGGTATCTGGGCGGAATATAAGAACACAGCATGATAGCTTCAGGGTGGAGGTGTGAAAAAATTATTTCACTCCTTCAACACAAAGTTTTGGAATCTGCAGAAATTACAAACCAGACCTACTCATATGATTTGTTTTGCTTTGAAACTGCAACTTCCAATTTTGTTAGATGCCTCTTAGATTGTATATTGGAAGAGGAAGCAGTTGTTCCATAGTCACCTTTACAAACATTTCCTTAGTTTTCTTGTAGCCATGGTTTGAAATGAGATGCTACAAATCATTAGTAAGTCAGCTATTTCATGTTTGAGTTTTTAGAATGTAAAGGTTAATATCATCGTGGTCAGATAACACAGAAACACTTTGTACTTCTGTACCTACATTACAATATAAAGTCCTGTTCTTGACTCAAGTTATGATGGTATCGTTGTTGTCAGCAGGAGTGCAGTGCTGATTTGCATCCATGGTGAAAGTTCTCTTTCTCATCTTTGTACCCAACAGTAATTGTCTTGGACCTGATGGCACTTGGTAGAATTCAGTATTTTGGCTCATGGCATGTAGTGTTTGAATACGGGATGAACTAGTTGTCTATACTTGTAAGTTCATCAAGGGAGGATGCGGTCCTCAGAAGGTTCTGCTTCCTGTGACTTCCCTTGTCCTCCCTATTCTTCCAGAGCTCTTTCTGTGATGTGGACCTTGTCTTTCTTACCTGAAATGATGATGAATTTGTGTTTTTACAGCTCCAGATTCTTTGGACATATAAGAGTCTTGCATGAAAGCAGTTAGGAATTTTTGAACCTTTATTGATGGTGAAATGGCAGTGCTCTGTATAAATGAGCAGCCACAGGTTCCAAGGAGCAGACATAGCAAACTAAACTGTTCATACTTCTTGGTTTATAAAAGTTCTAACATTTGCTTTTGATGTCTGTCTAGTAATAGTTGTGAAACATTTAAGTAGAAGTATTCTTTTTTTGTGCCAGTTTCTTTGGATAAAAAGACTTTTTGCTTTAAGGTTTTTTTAATTGTAAAATGTTATAATTATCTGTAAAATTTGTCAGAAAACATTAATGTCTGTGGGTTTGTTTTGGTTTTTTGGTGACCTTTAGAAATGTATTCACATTTCCTTCAGTTCTATTGGAATTGGCATGATTTGTCATTTATTTTTGGTTAAAAATTAGGCCGCTACATTGCAATAAAATTATAACCCAGGAAAATAACATTTAGTGAATTAAAGGAGTGGGGTTTTGGTTTAATTTGCTAGCTTGCCTTTGAAAATGTATGTGTCTGCTTGCATATAGAGTGGTTGAACAAATACATCAAACCAATTAAGGGTGGAGAGAACAATCACCCTTCAGAGGTGATTTCAGAGGCCAGCTTCCCACTATACTTGCCCCCTTCTCTAGTTACCACGCACAGCAGTAGCTCAGACCTCTGCCAGGTCTTGCACAGGTACCTTTTGAGCCTCCACCTCCTTTACTCGCTCTCGCCCTGCAAGACATGGCTGAAGCTGGGCCAGATTTTGCCAGTTGTGGCAATATTCACTTGGTAATATTCACAATATGAATAACTCTTCTCTTCCGCAGAGCTTTTCTTTTGGAGTTGTGTGTTGAAGTAGACTGATGAAGAAATTGCAGTAGGTCGCTTCACTTTAAACCACTCCCACAACATTGCTTGCAGACTTTCAGAGATACTGAGTTTCTGAGTCTGTTCTTGAAAACAAAATGGGAAATTTGCTTCTTATTGTAGTTCTCAGAGATACCTGCACGCTGTTCTGCTTTCTTTTTGTGCATCAGGAGTGCTGCTTCTCTGTGCCTCTCCAGTTTTTACTATTCTATTTTATTTGAGGATGCTATCAGTAAGACTAGATGATCTTCCGAGATCTCTTCCAACCCTACTGGTTTTGTAGTTCTCACAAAAAAGCCTGGAATCAAAGGGATTCTTTCTACTTCATAGTTTTTCTTAGATAATGGTTTTTGAAAGCTGTCAATACATGTATTTATATAAGACACAGAAGGGAAACTGTACAGTATGGGTTTAGTCCTCAAAAAAACACCGGTTAGATGTTTGAAGGGGTAAGCGTGGTCAAAAGAAGATAATGAAGCTTTAAGGAACTGCAAATAAAATAAATTGGGCCATGTTTTGCAAACAAAACCTTTCAAGTTTTTCATTATAGGTGGCTTTTCTTTCTTTAGTGCTCTACATGACCTATAATGCTTATACATCATCGAAGATGATACAAACACTCTCTATGTTAATTCTAGTCAGTTTTAATGGTTATGTTGGAACTCTGTAGCAGGCAATCCTAAACAGAAGGATTCTCTATTAAACACTTGAAGGTTTCTCTATGAAAGGTTATTTAATTCTCTGTATAACCTTGTGTGACTTTTTTCTTTCCTGTTTGCTCTGAGATTCCACCCTCTTACTTTGCAGGACTACCACCCCCAGAATTGGAGACATTCTGCAAAAGTTAGCTCCTTTCCTCAAGATGTATGGAGAATATGTGAAGAATTTTGATAATGCCATGGAATTGGTGAAAACATGGACTGAACGGTCACCTCAATTCAAATTCATTATTCAAGACATTCAGGTAATGGGGAGAATAACATCAATCTCCAAGTAATACAAGCATATATGAAAATATATAGTTTATATAGGGTGAGAAAAGGATTAAAGAGAAAATAAAATACTAAATTCCTTAGAATTAAGGATTGTTCATTTTGTCTGCTTCATACTGCATTCTGCTTCTTCACCTTCTCCCTTCATATGTGCACATATACCCCCACACATCCAGACTTTCAACTGCAAAATAGAGGACCGAAGTAAAAAGGTTGAAACACAAGAAAACTGAAAGAATGCTATTTTGTATTATTTATCTTAAAGCAGCATTTAGTTTTGGTATCTGCAACAAAAATTAGTATCAAGTGACCTATCAGTGCAATTATAGATCCTCACACTGAATCTGTAAGTACTGTGTTGATTCTCACGAGTGCTGTTAACACAGAGCTTTATGCTTTGGGTGTAGGTATGCAATCCTCAATGCTGAGGCGCAAAAGGTAAAGAAAGCTTTGTAGTTCAGCAGTGCGTTAAGTCTTAATGTGCTTTTTGTACCCTCTGGTGCTCCCTGTAGGTTTCCCTGTGAATTGGCAGGTATGTGTGTCAGGGCAGACTAAGCACCTAAGGCTGGGATAAGATTTTTCTGCTTAAATTTTACTGCTCAGCGGGGTCTCATGATTCGAAGCCAGGGAAGACAACGATGTGCATTTGAATGAAATCTTTTAATTGCATAAATTAATATGCATCTTAAAACACTGATGAGGGGGTTTACATTGTAAGTGAAGCTCAGAAAAAGCTTTTCCGCAGACAGGTAAAATAAACCTTCAGAGTCTATTTAAGCAATATTTTCTAATAGGTGGTCATGAACTGTTCTTCAGTAGTTATTCTCTTGTCTGAGTCATTACAAGCCTAATTTAAAATACACTGGAGTTTGGGAGATCTTTTGGATACTTAACAAAGATTTTACAATTATTTTTAGGAAAGTATTTCTAATTATTTGGTTTGGTAAAGTAGTTCTATTTTCTCTCAGAAGGTCTCTCATGCACATTTCAAAATACATTGTGTTTCATCAATCATAACTTTTATTTTACTATATCGTAATAACATTTTTGCCTGCTACATTGAAATATGTTTACAATTTTTTAGAAGGAAAAAGTGTGTGGAAATTTGACATTGCAACATCACATGCTAGAACCAGTACAACGCATTCCACGCTACGAGATGCTTCTAAAGGACTACCTAAGGAAATTGCCTCAGGATTCTCTAGACTGGAAAGATGCTGAAAGTAAATATCTTCTAGCCATTAAAAGAGCTGAAATAAGATTTAGTAAGAGGATACTGTAAGTTAGAGATATTCTCAGGAAAAACAGAGTGAAGAGGCAAAGTCCCTCTGGAAAAAATGCCAAATTTTCTTAAGGGGACATGCAGGATTGTAGGATTCTTTGTGGGGGGAAAAAGGATGAGGTTAATTTAAAAGTTCTAAAGCCTTTAGTGTCCTCCTCCTGGAGTGCCTAAGTTTTGCTTTAGGTTTGGATTAGCGCACAGGATTTATTTGCTTTGTGGATGATCAGGGGTTGTGGTGGTTTTTCTTTGGTGGTGTTTTTTTTTTTTTTTTTGCTTTTGTTGTCATTTTGGTTTGCTTTATGCACATTTGGAATGTGTGTCTGTAAAAAAAATGGAGTTACACTCATTATTGTATCTTCTCCTGTAGGAAAAAGAACAGCCCATTTTTAAATTTATACCTCCCTGTATTTACACAAGAACAGTTCAAGATATTTACGTGATTGTTCAAAATTACTGGCCAGATAATTTATTTTTTTTTTAATACTTCATTGTTAGTGAGTTGTTTCAATTAAAAAAACAGAGTTTGATATCCTGGACTACTCTGGGAAAAGAGGGGAGAGAGCCATGAGTGGTCATGTCATAAAAAACATGATTCTAAATGCTGCAGCACTAAAGTAATCTGCAGTAATTCTCTTCTGATCTTTCCAGATTATAGTTTCTATTTGGTAGTTGACTTTCTTATGCTTTCCACTTTACCTTGGTTATTTTTTTGTTGATAACTTAAGAAATTTATTATAGTGTGTAATTTACATAAAAATGGTAGACGGTTTTGTAGACTGATCCTTTTTTTTTTTTTCCCCTCATGTGTAATATGTAAAAGTGCAGCTTTTGGGGTTTACTTTTTTCTTTTCTTTCTGTCTAGAATCCCTGGAAATTATATCCACTGCAGCAAGTCACTCGAATAGTGCAATAAGAAAAATGGTAAATTATCCTTGTTTCCCTGGTCACTTTTTAATATATTATATTTGAGTGTTTGGTGAAGCTAGGACCGTGAAATGCAAAACTACCCAAAAAAAAGGGTTCCCTGGGTCCAGGGATTGCTCCTACTTAATGTATTTATATAGCTCCTGGGAATGATAAGCAAAATCTAGCATTGCACCTAATTCTCTAAAGTGGAAGGTGGAACAGGCTGAGTTCATCTCCTCGCTCAAATAGGTGATACCACGCTGGGCACTTAACCTTGTTTCATCTGTGCTTGTCAGTGGAAGGATAATGTTTGTAAAGAGTAGTTACTGCTTCTCTACAATATTAGGCTGGCATGATAGGCACTTGATTAAGTATGTAAGATACTTTGGACAAGACATAATACAGGCTGCATGTATAACTACATTTTTAAAATTACCAAGGAGGTAACATTCCTAAAAGTACTTGTTACTGCATCAACTAATTTAATCAGCCTATACGTCTGACTATACATAACAGGCATATATATGTTTTTCAAAGCTAACATTCTCCAGGCTTACACAAGCTCCCATAATTTCATTTAAATAAGCTTAAAGATCTGTGTTTTTAATTAGTTTTATAACTGTATTTTCCCTGTAAAGGAGAATCTGAAGAAATTGTTAGAGATATACGAGATGCTGGGAGAAGAGGAAGACATTGTGAACCCTTCAAATGAACTAATAAAAGAAGGACAGATCCTTAAACTCGCTGCTCGCAATACATCTGCTCAAGAACGGTATCTTTTCCTAGTAAGTATGGTGGCCTGTGTTTGCAGGAGCGGCTGCATATCTTTCTAAATGCAAAAGAACTACCAAAGAGAGAAGGAAATCCTCTCTAGCTGATGTCAGTGCCTTTCCACTAGTGATATTAGAGCTTGAGTAAAACTTACACTGCTTACAGAAAGGCTTGAATGGAGTGGCTAGAATGGAATACCTGGTTTTAAACCAATGGAACCAGTGTCCAGCAGTTCACTTTTACCTAAAGTGGCTGCTGATTATAAATGCAGGTCCTAGAGCACAAGAACTTTGATGTTCTCATGAAATTGAAATGTGAAAGTTTAATGTTCTAGTCCTGATAGATTGTGTGTTGAGGTCCCAGTAAAGTCTTACGGTCCTGTGGGAGCTCGTTATCATGGCAGGTCATCCTCTTGTCGGGTGTGTGCTGTGTCTTGGAACTGAAAAACTACAGCCATGCCCCCTTACAACTCCCTTGGAAAAGTTTTGATATAGTTCATTGTTTTAAAAATTGCATAGTTCAACTGTATGCTAATACGGTTTTTAATGTATTAGCATTGAATCTGCTAATACATTTCTGCTTATAAACCTCTGGCATTGCACTTCTTGTTAATAAAGACTAGTAATGGGTTGTTGAGGCACAACTGCTTATCTGTGCTTCTAACAAAAGGAGAAACCATTGAATAGTAAGACCTCAGATGGGGCTTTATCTGTGATACAGATTAAGCAATAGGCTAGACAGGATTTCTATGAACTAGGATTTAACCAAAGTGAGTTTCTCTTTTTAATAATTAATTTTGAGAAAAATGTGAGGGGAAAAAATGTGAGAAAATTAAATGCTATAGAGCTAATGACTGTGCTTCTAGGCTGGGGCTTTAGACATTTGCATATTATTTAAAGTTCTTATCTTTAAAAAAGGAATATATCTTTGTCTTGCTCTTTTTTTTTTCTTTTTTTTTTTTTTTCCCTGTGATATTGAGGGTTTCAGTGAATAAAAACGCTAAGAAATGTTCTTCTGTCTTGGAGAAAAGACCTATAATTTCCTCAAATAGTATTAGTTACAACTTCTACAAATCCAAATGATTTTGGTACCTAATTCTCTAAAGTGGAAATGGGACAGGCTGGGTTCCATTCCTGGCTCAAAAAGGTGATACCATGCTGGTATCACCTATTAGGTGATAATACCCTAATACTGAAGTAGGGTATTAGGGTAAATATAAACATATACACTGAAGAAAACAGTTATTTTTCAGTTTAAAGTAAGTGTTGCAGAACTGGGGCTTAAGAATGGGATTTTCTAACAAAAGCTGTACAGTGCTATAAAATACCCAGTCTGAGAATAGTTGATAATAAATGCTATGAAGATTGCTCTGCATAAACCACCAGTCATCTACTCAAGGTGTCCTTTAATCTTATTTCTAAACAAGTAAGAAAAAGAAATTGTCTTGCATTAGAACTTTGGCTTTCTTGTATATCAGTTGATTGGGAAAGAATCTACTTTGTCACCCACAAAGTCTAGCTTTCTGATATCATCCTGCTGTCAGTAGAAAATGTGGCTTTATCAGTGTTTTTGCAAAACACTGCAATAATGCAAACTCATGCATTTCTTTCTTTTTCCCCAGTTTAACAACATGTTGCTCTACTGCGTCCCCAAATTCAGCCTGGTAGGATCAAAATTCTCCGTTCGAACCAGGGTTGGCATAGATGGTATGAAGATTATAGAAACTCATAATGAAGAATATCCACACACTTTTCAAGTGTCTGGAAAAGAGAGAACACTGGAGTTGCAGGCCAGGTAAGCAGTCTTTTTATCTAGCTTTTGGAAGATTAAATATATGCATGAGAAAGAGTAGATTAATAGATTTAGAGAAAGAGGCTTCATCTTAGTATCAGTGTTTTGAAAATAGGCTAGGCTATCACTTGAATTCACTGCTTAGTGCTTGCAAACTTTTGAAAGCCTAAAATCATGCTTTTGTTTTCTGTTTTAAGATGGACAGTTAATATTGTTTAAATTTAAATTCCTGAGAATTATTTCACAAGCTTTTGCAAGAAGTTTTTGATAGCGAGAAAATGTTTCCTGAACTAGTTTTGGACTAATGTTTCAAATATTTCTTTTAGTTCTGAACAAGATAAGGAAGAATGGATAAAGGTAAATTTATCTGAATTCTGTATTTTCTAAACTTTTTTTTAATGAAGCAATAAAAAAAAAGTAATATTCATATTTTCTAGATGTAGCTTCCCTCTGCTACTTAACTAAGTGGTAAGAATGCAGAGAATCTGTTTTAAATGTAATATGTTTGAGGGATTTCTCCACTGTTTCTTCAGGCACTTCAGAATACGATAGAAGCTTTTCAGCAGAGGAATGAAACTTTCAGAAATGCTATTGCTAAAGAATATGAAGATATGCCTGTTGAGGTATCTGTAAGTTGCTGTTACTCCTTTGTAACCTTCTTAGTACACATTTTGTTCTTCAATAACTGGGAAAACATTGGCAGAAACTTTGTTTGCAAGCTTTTCACTGTTATAGCAGAGGAATTATGAAGTAGTCATCTTGTTGGGAATTGTTTTTCTTCATAATGGCAAATCTTAGAAGCAATCCTTTTTTTTTATTTTATTTGTAGCATGTAACAGATTATCCTTTCAGTGAGGCATAATGATTTTCTTTGTTATTTCTTGTATGTATTTCAAAATCCATCTTGAGCTCTGATTCGACATTTCCCTTCCAGAGGAACAGAATAATAATTTCTGCTATTTAAAGTACTGCACAACATTTTACACTGGCTTTTTTTATTCTCCCACCCTCCCCCTGGCCCCATTCAGAATGCTGAGCTTGGGAAGAGAGCACCAAGATGGATACGAGACAATGAAGTAACCATGTGCATGAAATGCAAGGAACCCTTTAATGCACTGACAAGGAGAAGGCACCACTGCCGAGCATGTGGACATGTAAGTGCAAAACCCCAGCTGCTGTAGCTCATGAGCAGGCTTGGGAATGGGTCTAAGCACCTACTTGACTTCTGGTGCCTGCTTGTTATTCTGCAGAGTTTGTTGCTCTGGTTGTGGCTGAAAGGAGAGAAGCTGTGTGTAGCATACGACAAAGGAATCCTCTGTCTGCTTTAGTTAGCATTGTAAATTTGGAAGTAATTTGGAGCAGCGGAAGATGCATGTCTTTGTAAAATGTTCCAAGCCCCCAGACCTACTGTACTGTTATTTCTGAGTGGCTTCCACTGATCTCAACAGTTTCAAGACCATATTAAACTGGAATAAGACAGCTGTATACTGGGCAGCACGGACTGCCTCCTCTTCCCATTCTGCTACTTTCTCTTTCCTATTCATAAGATCATGTAGCCCTGCAGTTTTCCATTGGGCCAACTTGGAGCTGTTCCCAGCTGGGTTCAGCATGTAACTGTGTGAACATGTGTGAAGCATCAGGGAAGCAGAAAGCTTAGGATGGGGAGAGAGTATAACTGCTGTTTTCTGTGTATGATGCTATGGTAATGTATGCTGCTTTAAAGCAACCATGAATTAGTGATATGACTTGAGAGTTTTCAGAAGAGCGAACACCCCATGCTTTCTGTTCTTGCCATCCAGCAGCAATGCCTTTCTCCAGCAGATGGTAGTGCAGGCCCAGGTTTAATTCTTCTCTTACAGGTTATCTTGCACGATTTCTTTATAATATTTTTATGTGGCATGAAGGTTTATTCCAATCACAGTGCTGCTTTTTTGCATTAATTTTTTTACTGATTATACCGTTATAGTCTGGTTTGTGGGTTTTGGTTTGGGGTTTTTTTTCCCCCCAGATCGTTGACGTAAAACTCATCTGTTAATGTTAAGATCACACCTTCCCTTTTTATTCACCCTCTTGTTCAGACTCCTAACTAATTTCCCTCTCTTGTAGTTCTATCACATTTTATACACTTTAATTATTTTTTTCCATGTTAATTATTTTGGGTCAGTGGCTAATTGGGAACACTTCAGTAGTATTCTTTAGAGATATTAGTTGATGATAGTGTTATAGATTAGTACTGCAAAACCCCGGTCCACAATAAAATTTTGTTCAGGTGTTTGAGTGGTCGCGATCCATTTGTCTGCTGTTCTTTTTTGCAATAACTTCACTGAATTTTTCTTATGCAGAGCATCTTTTTCATCTGAAAGAACATTTCTGTGGAAAAACATTGCTAATGAAATGTTCTTTCAGATATCTCATGGGTTGCAGTTTTATGCATATAAATGTACAGTGAGAAGAAAAATCATTGTGATATTGGCTTGTTCTGTGTACTTATGAACAGATTATAAAACTGAAAATTCAATAGCAGGTTAAAAAAAACCTATTTCTTATTTTATTATTATCAATAATGTGCATCTCACTTGTACATTTCTCAGGCTATGTAGATAAAAAATGGTAAATAGAGCTTTTCAGGTTGGCATTTTAACAAACTGGAAAGGATTTTCTTCTAGGAAGCTGGAGGATTTTCTTTCTGTAACATGGCTTGTGCTAGATTCTATTTCTAACTTTAACCTACAGATATGACTGAAAGGCTAATGTGATTTTATGGAAAGTACAAAGTTTTATCAGATAAATAGTAAAACCCACTTCTAGTTAAGCAGCAGTGGCACAAATTTGGAAAATCATTATTTTCAGTTGAATTTGTAATGACATGTCATAAAGGCATTATCTTTCTTGTTCTGTGGAATGAAACAATATATTACTAAGTACAGAAAATATTACTAGTTTTTAATAAAATTATGTTTTCATGATTTTTATATGTAAGTTATCTTTTTTGTTTCTAAGGTGGTTTGCTGGAAATGTTCTGATTACAAGGCACATCTTGAATATGATGGCAATAAATTGAACAAAGTTTGTAAAGACTGCTATCATGTTATAATTGGCTGTACAGACAGTGAAGAAAAGAAGAAGAAAGGGATCCTGGAGGTATGTAATTTAAAAATCATATATGTGCATACATGCAGTTTCAATTCATCAGTAAGTGAAAACTGGTAGCATTCCTGCAGGACTGTTTTCTGTTTGAGAAATAAAAGGTATGTGGACCAAATTAATCCTGTCCAATAGATTTTGATTTCCACCATTAATCTTTTACAATACTGCATTGTTTCTTGATTTTATTTTATTTTATGGGGGAATGATGAACCTTAGAGCTTGTTTACTTCTTTCCAGTTACATCAGCAGATGTAATAAAACATTACTTTTCCTTATAAATCTTCAGTTTTAATTCTTATTCACTTAAGCTGTCCTAGCAATAAAAACCACTGCTATTACAATGATTTTTGAGAACATATACCCAAACTGAAAGAACTGAGGAGGCAGGAAAAGGAATAAGGGAGAATTTTGCTATTCCGAGTCTGAGCTGTAAAATACTGTTTTGACCAGTGTATGCAATGTACCTTTAAGTCATCAAGTTGTTCTCATCTTTTGACATCTAAAAATTCAAGGTCTCAATCAGACAATAAAGAGCTATGTTACTTTTATAACTGCAGGAGAAATAGGCACCTTACAATTGCAATTAACCAATTGCACACTTCTTAAATCCCCCTTTACAGGCCTTTTCAAAACACCTGACATACATTACAGAAAGATCATCGTAATTTTGTTAAGACATCTTGAGATGTAGTAGAGAGGGATTGACCCTTGAGCTAAATAACAACAGAAAAAGAAGACAAAAATAAGACACAGGTTGCAATTCCATATACAGGTCTTAATCCATATTGGTTTGATTACACACTCCTAAATGAGAAAGTAAGGACTGCAAAACTCCACTAGCTTACCTTATAGTCAAGAGTCTGCTCTTTCTTGGCATGGTGCCTTTTTTAAGGTAGCGAAGAAGCTATAGAGTCTCTTAGAAATGTCCATCTGCTTGCTGGGTCTCATGACAGTAGAGCGGTTAGTACCATGTTGCAGCAGCCAGACAGCACCACTACTAGGAGAGAAAAAATGTATTCAAGGGAACTTTAACAAATGGTCGTTTTGTGTTTTTTCTGATCTTCTCAGGATCCCTATTTATCCCAAATAGCATGTCATTTTGTCTTCAGTTTTAAAGCAATTCACCGAACCTTTTCGTTATGTGTTTGCATTCTTATGTTGTTCTCTAAAATATATTTGCATCTGATCCTGCCATAATATTTTGAATGCCAAAATAGCGTAGTTGTCATATTGGACAGTCGTTAGCACTTCAGTGCCTGACATGATGTTGTTTAGAAATCAGATGTTGTAGATACTAAGATACATAGAAAGGCTATCTGTGGAGGCAGAATTAAATTTAGAGTGATCTAGAAGTGTATAATCCAAAATTACCAATGAAAGAAGGAACAGATTACACATGTGAAGGGAGCCCATGTTGTGATTGTAAGTATGTAATATATAAATATTTTCCGTAAACCCAGTCCTTTGTGATCTTACTTGGGTAGTTGCTCAAGTGTTGTTTTTTTTCAGATTCTATCCAAGGTTGGATATGAATGGTGATGAAGTTCTCCTTTTCTGTTTTCTATGTTTTAGTCTGTATTTCAGGAAAGTTTATTTTCCTTTTTATGCTTTGTACTCTCTCCTAGATTGAATCTGCAGAAGTTTCTGGAAATAGTGTCATATGCAGCTTTCTTCAGTACATGGAAAAATCAAAGCCCTGGCAGAAAGCATGGTGTGTTATACCTAAGCAGGAAGCTCTTGTGCTGTACATGTATGGTGCTCCACAGGTATGTGCAGATAAAATGGAAAAGATTTTAGTAATTGTCACTGCCATCTGAGGAAGAGAAGTCTGATAGCTTAGGAATGGAGGAAAGACCCTCTTGTTTTTATCAACCTGTACAGTAAATGAGAGCGGGCAAATTAGTTGTCTATTCTTAATCAAGAATTTCTTCTTCTTAGGATGTTAAAGCACTGGCTACAATTCCACTTTTGGGCTATACAGTAGATGACACTCCAAGAAGTGCTGACCTCCCACACAGCTTCAAACTGACGCAGTCTAAGTCTGTGCACAGCTTTGCTGCAGACAATGAGGAACTAAAACAGAAATGGCTGAAAGTTATTCATTTAGCTGTAAAAGGTGAGACTCCAGAATGTCAAACTGAACTGCAGGTGAATTTAGAAGAGCAGCCTGAATCTTCTAAAACTTGTGAATGCTGAAGCTCAAGAACACATGTATTTTTGAAAGATTTCAATTGAATTTGTGGTTAACCTTTGTGTTAACTGTTCTTTGCTCAATCAAGAAATCTTACAACCATACACATCTTAGCACTTTATGTTTGGGAAAAATTCTGTTCTTTTTAGGGATCTTTTTTCTTATATTTATGTTCTGTCAATAAAGGTGATGTACAGGTCCATTTCAGAGACTTTTTTAAAAAATGTGAATGTTATTAAAAATACTTACTAACTTGTTTGTCATGATACAACCTTTTTTTTTTTGGAAAATCCAGTTGCTCTTGGTTTAACGTTTGCTATTTTCATTAAGAATGCAGATACTGAAGCTTCCTACTTACACGTTAGGACTTGCAACAGGATAAAAGATATACCTCCACATTGACAAAATAGATGTGTAGTTAAATATGCAGGGACAGTTTGGTTTAATGTATGTAGTTTATAGATTGAATCCCACAGATCTGTACATATGTTGTATTCACTTGCCTCTTTTAATTAAAGTAATGCAAATTGCTTTCACAGGTATATTGGCTTTTAAAGTTTCAATTTATCATGGAAACAGTCTATTGATTTTTCAGTATAGAAATGAATACCTAAAATATAAAAAAAAACCAATATATAATATATGTACAGTATTAAAAACATTCAATTCTTGATCATTGCTTTGATTTCATGATACTGGGTTCCTGTTAAAGTGAATAATTTATTTAAAAAGCATGTTTTCTATTTGAAATTAAACACAGTTCTAAATTAACAAATACTTTTCAGTGATTTGTTTTAATAGCTGACACTTAATGATCTTGATATTTTTATGCATCAAAAAAATAGCAGTAATGTAAGTGGCATGCAGTGGACAAATATGTTCCGGTTGTGTTTAAAAGAGTAGTCGCTTTTTTTTCGGTGTCCTATCACTGTTTTCCTTTAAGAGTGCAGTAGTTCATTACTCAAATGCAATATGTGGTTTGAGAAGAGCAATAGATTCTAGTAACCTTTTGGGATCATGAGTTTTGGCTATTATGGTTTTGGAACAAAAGAACATTTTCAACTTAAGCCTTTTAATTTTTGCAGAAGATTAGATACTGTAATATTTATGACAACAATCTTCAAGAATTATTGTTGTAAAGTAGAACCTGCTTTATACAAATTTAGTATGAAGTCTGAGCCAGCAAACCTCAAGTTAACTATCAAGTTAGCAATCTCAAATCTCAATTTAACTAACATTATTTGCATTCCACTTATGGGAATAAGGACTTGTTGTCCTTATGGTATTAGGTCCCTTATGAACTTTCATTCTTATTAGGGTTTTATAAATACAGGTAAATGATGTCCCTAATTTTTTTACTGTAACATCCTTGAATTAAATATGGCAAATTCAGAGGTAGTGATTGACTATTGAGTTGACAATTAAAATCATTGCTATTTTTTCTGACCCCTGAAAGGAAAGAAAATACGTAGTTTCTATAATTAATCCGTCATAAGAACATTCAGGAGTCTTACTTCTTGATATAACTGCAATCTGTATTTTAAACCATGTCAAGCTGAAGAGCTTGGTTTCAAGTTCAGTTTTGTTAGTAACATGAAGGCAGATTTCAATTGTTGCTTCTTTATAGTGATAATTCCAAAGTTACTCTTTGTGTCACACAGTAGGAAAAAAAAACAACACAAAAGAACAAACCCAACTCATTTAGCATTTAACAAGGGATAGTTAAAGCAACCTCTGTTTTTAGTGTCAAGCATCCAATAGTGTCTATCATTCTTTGGTAAGAAGAATGTCATGCAGCTTAATGTTAGTGGTTTGGGTTTTGCTCTCACCTGCACAAATCTGCCTTTAGACTTCAAAGTTTCACACTAGTTTTAATAATCATCAGGACACAGGATTGTAGAGTAACTCTACAACTGACTTTGTGCTTGTCAGTTCTGGATTTTTCCTTGGGTACTCCACGTGCCCAGATTATTCTGCATGTAACCCTAGTATTACTTTTATCTGATGTGCAAGCTCTTCTGTAATTCTCCTTAAGTTACTTCTGTCAGTCGTACTTGCCTTTAGTTACAGGCAGCTCAAGCCTGTTTTGATTCACACCAGTGAGTACAATCAAATCTTCACCAAGGTCTCCCTAGCTAGTATGTGTTATCTTGTGTGTATCTTGGCAAGGGAAGGGGGAGCATTCAGTAAGCAAGAACAACTTTCCATGGCTAGCTTGCTTTCAATGGTCATCTCCTGAGAGTGGGTATTTTCTAAGTGTCTCAAGTGCAATTGTGAGATCTGTAGAGTCATCTTGCCACATCCCAGTGTACAAAACCTTTGTTTTTCATGTTCAAATTGTTGAGTGTAAAGGGAGAAGTTGCATTAAAGAAGTATCTAGATAAGATGGACTGAACTGTACTGAAAGTAATATCAGTATTACAGTATCACCGTAATCATAGAATCATTTAGGTTGGAAAAGACCTTTAGCATCAACTACTTCCCTAGGCAACCTGTTCCGGTGCTTGACAGCCCTTTCGGTGAAGAACCTTTTGCTAATATACAATCTAAACCTCTCCTGGCATAACTTGAGGCTATTTGCTTACTGCTTGTTGCCTTGGAAAAAAGACCAACATCCATCTCGCTACACCCTCCTTTCAGGTAGCTGTAGAGAGCAATAAGGTTTTTCCTTTTCTCCAGACTAAGCAACTGCCATTCGCTCGGCTGCTCCTCATGAGACTTGTGTGCTTGATCCTTCACCAGCTTTGTTGCCCTTCTTTGGACATGACCCAGCACCTCAGTGTCTGTCTTGGTGCGAGGGGCCCAAAACTGAATGCAGTATTTGAGGTGCGGCCTCAGCACCTCAAATACTGTGCAGGGCATGAGGTGCTGAGTCCTGCACACCTCTGCTGTGCAAGACTCAGCAAGCATTCCAATACAATCACACCCCTGGCCCTGCTGGCTACGCTACTGCTGATAAAGGCCAGGATGCTGTTGGCCTTCTTGGCTGTCTGGGCACAAGCTGCTCATGTTCAGCTCTGTCAGTCAGCACCCCCAGGTCCTGTTCCACCAAGCAGCTTTCCAGCCACTGTTCCTCCAGCCTGTAGCATTGCATGGGGCTGTTGTGGCCCAAATGTAGGCCTTTTGCCTGGTTGAACCACATGCACTTGACACTTTGCCTTGTTGAACCACATGCAATTGGCACAGCCCAGTGATCCAGCCTGTTCAGATCAACACTCCCAGCCAAGTTGGTGTTGCATATTACATTCTGTTTTCTAAACTCCTGTAAATTTAATTCTGAGCCAAGTGAGAAGGCCTATTCCAGCTAAATTATTAGAAGCAGCAATTTCTGGGCTGCCTTATTTGTTACAGTGGTACTGAGTAGCTGAAGCTGCTTGAATGGTTTCAGCATCTCGCAGACAAAGCCCTGAATTTGGGCATAAACAATTTGAAATGAACATAGCATTGGGAGTTACTTATTTGGATGCTAGCCTCATGTTTGCTCTCAGCCTTTTAAGTTTAGATAGTGTGAGATATTTTATTTATCCTAGTGAAACCTATTTCATGTTCATATAATCAGTTGCTTGGTCAGAATTGTTCTGTTCTGATTCAGAATGTCTTGGCACTTAAATGTACGGTTCCGTGTGTATTTTGTAGGGAAAGTATGTACCCACAGTATTAGAGGGGATCAGAAGATGAAGATGTTGTTTCTAGATTTAACCACTTTAATTGTTTCACTCCATTCTCCACAGACAAGCCCTCCTACAGCATCCAAAATTTTAACTTTGAATTGTAAAGTATGACCTCAGAGGAACGAATTCAAAGTAGTAACTGCTGTGGTTTAAGTATCGTGACCAGAGCAGTCAAATTAAAACTATCATTCTAGCAAGGTATAGGCTGTTACCACTTCAGCTGTTAATTTTATTTTTTTTTAATGCATTGAATTTATTAACATAAAGCTGTGTGTAAGAAATAAACTATAGCTAAGCATTCATTCATAATACACGAATGTATGTGAATAGATCTTCTGAATTATTCAAGCTTTGTGATTCTTACGTCCAAGAGATTCTTGTTTCTCACTTTCAAAGTGATCAGACGTTTATTCAGTTTAAAGCAGATAAAAAATTATTTTGCATGGGTTTATCTGTGTTCAACTAAAACAATGGCTTCATTTTATCATTAATGTGTTTGGAAGATGTTAATGTAGTTTTCAAAAGTACTTTTTCCCCTAACATGAAAAAATAGTGTATCATGACATCTGCATGTCATCACCGTTCTTCCAGGTCCTCTAAAAATTGTTTACAGGTATCAGATGTACTGCTTGGTTGAAGAGCTGCTATAAAATCTGTAGCATGTAGTCCTTTCAAATCCCTTTGCACTGAGTAGTTTATTATAACATGTATTTAATTTTAATGTGCAGAATAGACATGGGATCATACCATCTTTTGGGATGGTAGATATGGGAATACTATACCAATACCATCTTTTATTTGGAGTAGAATATTAAACCACTTTATGTGCATATAATATATAGTGGCATCTTTTTATGCAGAACGATCTCAAAATGCTTTATAAATCTCCTCAAAGATTCTAAATCCCTTTCGTAGAAAAGAGAGTTTTGTTCATTTCTTTGAATTGTGGATGAAGCCAAGGCATTGATTAAATGTTGAATCAATACACTACCACCTAAGTAATTTTAGGAGGTTATAGAAGTATGCTCCAAAGAATTGCAAGTAGAGTCAGGAGAAAATAAATATAAAACAAATATATATAAAAATAAGTGGTAAAGATATGGAAACACTTGACAGGTTCTTTGGAGTTTGTTGGCTTCTTGTCAGTTGAGGGGTTTTTTTTAAACCTACATCACCACAGCTAGTATAAAAACTGGTCAGCTATTCACTTCAAGATAAAATTAATGAACAGAGAGTAGTGGTTCCTTATACTGAGGGGAAGGCTTTCAGGAAAGAAATAGACATTCAATGTAGAAATAATTTGAAGTGACAAAAAGGAGCTTTCTCCACAAATCAATTCAGCTGGTGTAAACTAGCACAGGACTGCTGGAGCTGTTATACCTTCAGTGATTTAAATTCATTATATAGGTATTCTTGTGGAAAATCAAGATTTCACCAGTTTGAGAGCTGCTCATTTATGGTGTCTCATCTGGAATCACAGTGCTTGGTTGAACTTCAGCTAAGTTTCATTTGGAGATAATTGATGTAGGGGTGAATTCAAACAGCTGGAAGTATATATAAAAAAATAAATGATTGGAGAAATGATTTTGTGGTAGAATTGACTATCCTTAACACAAATGTAATGGTGAAATGGGCATTCTTACTCTGTGGTGTACTGTTGTTTGAAATCTGAAATTAAATATCTGGAGTTACATTGTTTTCTTCAGTCTGTGGCCCTGTTGGTATGAGGAACTAACCTAGCTGGTTCTGCCCCGTGGGTCTGGAGTGAAGTAATCTCTTTGGGTAGGATTTTTAATCTGCCAGTCAGATTGTTTCCTAAAATCCTGTTCCCTTAACACAACATAACATTAACTTAATGATTGTATATGTGTGTCTATATGCACATGTATGTGTGTGTATATGTATATATGTGTATTTATATATTTGAGACTATTATTCAGATGACCTGTTTTCAAGCAGTATTTTACAATCAAAAACCACACTGTGCTGCATTCAAAATATAATGTATATTGTATATTGACTGTGTTGAGCCTGCTTTTCAGAAGAAAAATATCAACAAAAGTAGATCTACTTTTGTGGCATGTTTACTATTTTGGCCTAATTTAAAAACAAACAAACAAACAAAACAAAAATATCTACCCAGAAACCCAACAACAACAAAACCCCAAACACTCTAAATTCATCAAGGCACTCAATCTGCCTCCTTTAAAGCCCTGTGATTAAATTGCTTCCCAGACTTTACGGCATTTTGATTTTACTCCTTCCTCTGCCTAGCTCAAATGAATGTAGAATGTGGTTTTCCTCTTCTAAAATCTTCAAGCAGATTTCCTTGAATAAAATGTTTTCAGCTATTTGTTTATAGTTCATCATTGTAGATGCATTAAATATTCATGGTGAAAACATTCAGGAAAGGGGGAGCTATGCCAAAACATTTTCCCATGGATGTGTGCCCTAGTATTTTTAAGAAAGAAGCCAAATTTGTTGCATATAGGGAACAGTTTGCAATAGAAGTATTGGTTTGGTTTTTTCTATTAGCATGTTTTCTATTCTGCAGCCGCCAAGGTAGATTAATATGTTAATTTTAGTGGATCAGCTGTAATGTTTGACATCAGAATTACAGTCTACGCATTAATTCCCCTTCATTATGGAAACATTTCTGATTTGAATTGTGAAAACACTTTTTAAAAGAAAACCCCTAATATTTGGAAGAGGTGTATTATTTGTTCTGGTTTTGCAATAAAGTGAAGAGTATTAAAAAGGTGAAATATAAATGCCGTTGTAAGTTGTGCAAATGTAAGTGGTCATTTTTATGGTCAAGAAATATATGAATGTAAAAACTTTGCAGATATTGTATATATTTTCTGTAATATATGTATATTTGGTCATAAGATGGGTGGAGAATTGTAAAAATTAAGCACTTTAATTCCTGTTCAGTACTTAAAAAGAAATTTGTATCCTGTACAATAAATGTATCATTAAATAAGTATTGCTGGTTGACTTTTTTGTCCAACTGCTCTTTATTTTACTAATGAAATCTGTAAACTACATTTCCAATTGTGTGTTTGACTGTAGGCACCCATCTGCTTTGGAACACTGGTATCTAATTTGCTGAAGTGCTGCCTACACGCAAGTCCTGCTAAGTTGGTGGAAGATATATTCTGAATATATAAAGGACTGTATATAATGCTATGACATCTTAGGTTGGAAAGATAAAGTGATCTCTGCAATCCTTCACAGTTTAAATCCAGATTTCTGCAATGGGAATGATAATGTTCTCTCCTGTAACCAGGACATTATGAGAGTACCTTATGAGCTTCTGCACTGCCACCTCCATAGAAAGATGCAGAAAGGGAACATGGTCAGCATAGCCCTACATCTTGCTTGCTATTACTCAAGTACTGCTCTGAACAAAAGGTTGAAATAAACATTGAGCAGCTGCTCAGTGTAATCTCTCATGCACTGAATTAAAGTGGTGCTGCAAAGCAAAAATGATCATGTAATTAGCTGGATCTTCATCCTAAGCATAGGCACCTTTGATTCTTGAAATTTATTTGCTAGCTAAGCACACATTTAGTTAATGGAAGTGCCACTTAAACTGCAGCTACTCCTTTTCTAAGTGTTCTTTAAAAGACAGAACCATCTTCATTTACCTCCAGTTTCCATCATCTGTACATAATAAACTTCTTTTGTATCTGATTTATTCTTGGTATTAATCTGCAGGTGGGCACAATGTTGCAGAAAAGATATCCCCCATAATATAAAGAGGAAAATTTACTGCATTACTTGTAATTTCCTCTGTGGAAGGAGTTGCACACAATAATTTTGTTATAGTTTCTAGTTTTATTTCTCTTTGCAAACACATTAAACAAATCAGGCTTTGAAATAAGTACAGATGAACCACAGTAAACATTGATTCCCTCTCCATTTACACAATATTTTTATTTATGTTATGAACATTTTTTTCCCCTCTGTTTAACTCTTTTTCAAAACCTTTGTTTTCCTCATTAAACACAACACAGTGCCCTCTACATGGAGACAAAAATAACAGACTTTACCCTGAACTGTACTTTAATAAGAAATTACAACTATAACATTCAAATTACAGGAAATCCATAATTGCAGCTCCTACTTAATTCTTTTATATCAGCAGCTTTAATAAGCACTGATATTTCTGCTTGGTAGCAGCTTGTCCAAGAGTCCATCAAGTACAGGGCTGGTAAGTAAAGTGATAGGCGTTGCCTCCTCTGGCTCTCCCTAAAGAGGATGACTAATACTGCCTCATTACCACAGAATTGTTCTTGGAACTGTATGAGTTTCCTGACTTGAGAGAAACAGCACACTGGCCTTTGGTAAACGTAATACTTAGAGCTTGTTTTCTTTAAAGAAATTGCCTTGGAGGGTCCTGTGGTGTGTCAAATGAACAAGCAGAGGGATCCTTGTGACTGTGACTGCTTTGTTTTGGAGTCACTTGCTCTCCGTCTCCTTGGCCCTGTGTCCTAGGAAGCCATGACAATATTAAGCCTCATCAGACCTGGTTCATTTGGTAAATCAGGATACACCCCACTGAGCTTATCTGCTCGAGGTCTACCTTATGTCTGTGTTGCTAGTTCCTGCTTCTCAAAAACATAATGCTGTTGTGTCATGCACAGGATATCCTACCTGCTGTCTATCTTAAACTTGTATTACAGCTTCTAACCATCAGAATCTTACCAAGATAATTCATTGAGAGTTTCAGCTACCAAATCCCAATCTATTTTTGTTTCCTGTCAGAAAGCCTCTCCTTATGGAACAGAGCCTTAACTAAGAATGCAGAGTAAGACTTGGCTGTAGATAGATTTCTAGGTCCCCAAACTTCTTCGCATTAATTTCACTGAATACCACCCTATTTAACATGAAGATTACAGAGGTTCTAAATTTGGTTTATGCATTTGTAATATTAAAATAGCCCATGGTTCAAGAAACAGAAATTGTCTTGGGAGCAGAATCTGGGACTACCCTCTCTTTCTTTGGCCTCTCCTAGCCTCATGTTCTCTTCTGCCCTTTCCTACTCTCCTGTCTCGGAGCCAGGCGCTCATAGTAGTCTTGCTTGGGGAACATATGGAAACAAATGATCTCTTAGGTCCACTGGACAGTGAACTTGCATTTCTGACTTCGTGAGCTTATGTTCTAAAGCAAGGCTGGATGTTTGTACTCTCTTTTGAATATGTTTTAACGTAATATACCCACCTAGTTTTCCCAGACTGTAGGTCAGAGTCCCTGTTTCAGGGAGAGATGGTTTTTGGACTCCTATTGCTACTGAATTGCTTCCCACAGCATGAAATTAAATGTATGATTCCGCAATGGAAGAAGAAAAGATTTCAACCATAATTCTGTTTAGACCTATTACCTAGCCATGTAGAAATATTTGCTTTACCTGTCCTGCCTTACTCACATATTTCTTAGCTTGCAAAAGGGAATCCAAACCTCTTATGTCAAGGCTTTGGGACACAGCATTTACAAAAGACCTTTCTTATCTATGTCATATTTTGAAATCCTTTTTCTGACTAGCACTAGGCTGGTCCTATTAACTGAATGATCTTTAGTGGCTGAAGTGCACCTTGCAGTTCTGTTTCACGTGAAAAGACTTGCATCTATGCACACCAAGACAACTCTTACCTGCAAAGCATAGCATGTATGATATCAAACGTGCACTCCAGAACTGCAAACTTGACTTGAACTAAAAAGCTTAAGATACACTTGAGGTATCCATTAACATCATACGCAGGCTGTGATGTTGTAAATCACATGTGCTTGATTATTTCCAACTTAAAATTGTGCCAAATATAATACAAAAAGCAGCACACATAAGAAAACATGTATTATGAAAAGAAAAAATGTTCCTCTTGGCATACAATTTTATCTTTAATAGACCACAGGAGAGAGCCCAATTTAAAATATTAGATCTAGTATCTACATCCGCTGCTGTCAGTATGTCAATATAAAGAGACTGGTTGTCTGAGCAAACATGGAAGCAGATGAAGATGCAAAACTAGAAAGAAATTCATATAATGGAGAAGAAAGACTGGAAATTTTATTCTCCTGACTTTCTAACATAGGAAACTTATAATGAAATTAGAAGATGACAAATTTAAAACTGACACCAAATTGATTTTTTTTGCACTATGGATAATTAGATTATGAAACTTACTGTCACCGGATGGAATTGGAGTCAACAATGTAGCATAATGTGCAAAAAACCTATTATATGGTAAATAAAGCAATCTAGTTTCCAGTAGCATAAACCACAAGAAATATTAAACTGTCTACATCAGATCATACAGCAATATCAAAAATATTTAATACACAGTTTTGGAATCAGAAAATCTTATTCCTGCACTTTTGTATTTTCTCCGGAGGGCTGATGTTGGACAGCCTTAGAAATTAAATTTTGAGGTAGATTGATATCTGGTCAGATTCAGTGTGGCAGTTCCTGTTTCCTGTCAATTAACTTTTAGTGAATAACCAGTGTGATGACTACTGCCTTTTATCAGATCTTTCTGTTCCATGTTTGGTAAAATGTAAGTCGGCCATGAAAGTTACAGTTAAAGCTACAGATGATCACTGCTTGTTAAAACGTTTACTACTTTGTCACAGTCCCCAGCTGGGCTGAGGTAAGTGCTGGTGTTTGTAAGCTGGTGCAGGACATGACACTTCATAGCAGGATTTCCATCTCTCATTTTTCAGCCAGAAATGTAAAATGTATTAAGCTTTGCATTCTGCTGTTTCTTAGCCTCGTATCTTCTTCAGTACCTTCTTCTTGTTTTCCTTCATTGATTCTCTTCCTCCACCTGCACTTTGCATCTCCCTTTGGGTATCCAGCTCTAAATAGGCCTTTCCACATCTCTACAGTGCAGGCTAGGTTATCTCCACTCGGTTCAGCAACTGATATTTTCTCTGTGTGCTTCCTGAAGTATTATACTGATAAGATTCTAAGAACAGACATAGTGGGACAGACTAAAGTGCAAGCACACACAGTGCTTCTGCACGACACTTTCAAACTACTGTCAGCTCATAAACACCCAGAGCTAGATTTGATTCCTGCATAGCTATTTATTTACATGCAGTACATTTCTCTTCCTTAAACTTGTCCAGATACTGAATCAGTTTAAACTTTTACTGTCTACAACATCCTTTGGCAAGGAGCTAAACATGTCACAAACCCACCCATGAAGGGCTACTGTCTTTGTTCTGTTCTGTCCTGGCTCCTATTTTCATTAGATGCTTCCAAAATACTTGTATTGGAAGGGAGAGTAAGCAAACCTGACTCTTCTTCCCACTCCAGACTGCTGATGATTACACAGATGTCTAAACCTCCCTAGCTCCCCACATTTCCTTTGCTAGGAGTGATGACTCCTAGTTACTTAATTGGTTTTGGTATTGAAGCACACCTTTCATCATCCTTGCTGTCCTTCTCTGACTCTTTTCCAGCTCTACATTCTTTCTGAGATGTCCCACTTCTGGTCTAAATTAAAATATAAACCAGGTTGCACTTGCTCCATTTCACAGTGGTGTTCATGAGGTCATATGGCAAAATGAAAGGAGCAGGAGAGAAGAGATTTGCACAGAGAAATAAGCTGGTGTTATCTACCTACTTTGGCTGTCCACAGCTCTATTCCTGTGCAAATGGAACTCTTTCTTTTCCTTCCAGGGACTCAGTGAAGGAGATGAGACTCCACACTACACAAAGAATGGGAAACCCTTTAGAAAGAGTATTTTCTGTGTCAGGTGTACAATGCAGGGAACATTCAGTATTGTCCCTGACGCTGGAGAGGCAGATGCCAAATGGCATCTTGGTATTAATGAGCTCTGAGAGCAATTGGCTGCAGCACAAGGAAACCTAACAGGTGAAACCACTGGTTAAGTGTGCCTGTGTGGCAATGACAATAACCCCTCACCAACACACCATTCAGGACTTTCTTCACAAAGTTTTACATGAGTTAACTGTTT